GATCATTTGATAATTTCACTTTTCATTTTTTTTTTTTGACAAGCTGCTACACTGCTTTCCACAGTAGCTGCACCATTTTATATTCCCACCAACACCCCACAAAGGCTCTCATTTCTTCTCATCCTTGCTAACACTCATTTTTTTTATAACAGCCATCCTAATGGGTATGAGGTGGTGAAATTAATTTTAAGAAGACATTTTATTTATCCCAGTCTATCTAAAATATCAAGCCTACTTATAGTCAATAAAAAATAATTAATGAGATATTTTACATTTTGGTGGTACAAAGTCTTTGAAATCTGTTATGTATTTTATACTGAGGGCACGTTTCAAGGAAGACTAGCCACATTGCAGGCACCTGGTGGCTCAGTGGTTGAGCGTCTGCCTTCGGCTCAGGGCATGATCCCGGGGTCCTGGGATCGAGTCCCACATTGGGCTCCTTGCAAGGAGCCTGCTTCTCCCTCTGCCTGTGTCACTGCCTCTCTCTCTGGGTCTCTCATGAATAAATAAAAACTTTGAAAACAAAAGACTAGCTACATTTCAATTTCTTAAAAGCCACATGTGGCCAGTGGCTCCCATGTTGGATAACCCAGTTGTAGAGCATTTAACTCAGCTAACTATTATGCATCCATTGGTGGCCATTTCTGTTTGGCTGTCTCCTCCCTTAACTCCCAAGTTCCAGAAGGACAAGGAATGTGGCTGTTTTGCTCATATACAGTAGCTTGCTGAAGGCTGGTGCAAACCAGGTGTTCAATAAACATTTTTAAATAAATAAATGAATGGGGATCCCTGGGTGGCTCAGCGGTTTGGCAGTTTGGCGCCTGCCTTCGGCGTGATCCTGGAGTCCCGGGATCGAGTCCCACATCAGGCTCCGTGCATGGAGCCTGCTTCTCCCTCTGCCTGTGTCTCTGCCTCTCTCTCCCTCTCTCTCTCATGAATAAATAAAATCTTAAAAAAAAAATGAATGAATGAATGATCCCTATTAACATCTCTTTGCTTGTGACTTTGTTCAGACTCATTTGTAATTAATTTCTAGGAATAATTTGCGATGCTTTGTCCCTTGATCCACTTTCCAGACATGCTTCTCAGCCCCAGGAAAGCACGGGAATAAATGTTACCCAGGCAGATCTTGGATCTGTGTCTGTGAAGAGATGGAAATAGCAAGTAAATGCTATTGTAAGGGAGGAAAAATTTCTTTCTTCTGCCCAACATAGATTTTTGGCTGGGTCTTTATAATAAAAGACAGATTTACAAAAGAAAAGCATCCAAATTTAAGGTATGTTTTACGTGGCATGGGAGCCTTCATAAGGAAATGAAGACCAGAGGAAGTGCTTAAACCTGAGTGTTCTATTACTGAGTTGAAGAGTGCAAAGTTGTGGAAAATGTGTTAGGATAAAAGGGGTTATGAGCCAAGAGTAGGAAACTGGAGGAAATTTAGCATGGCCTGTTTGTCCTGATTCCTTTCAAGGCCTCTTGAGGTCCCAGAGATAAGGATGTTCCTTTCCTTGTAAGGATATAGGGAAGGCGTTTCTTACATGGGGGTCTCATGACCTGCTTCAAGGGAGGGTCAAAGAGTCCTTCCTGCTCCCGCTCATTCTCAAATTCTTTCAGTTTAAAATATTCAATATGTCAAGATGCCATATTTTGGGTTGGCTTGTCCTGAACCCCATCACTGTCACAGCAACACGCAGATAACTGGGTTCACTGGAGTATAAATATTCTCTAACATCAGTAAGATTTGAGAATGTAATCTTCGTCTTTTTAGAATTATTTTCAGTATAAGTCAAGGAAGAGTAAGGGCTAACTATTAATCACCAGCATTCCGATGTGGAAAATGTATATGCAGAGGCCAGGAAGCCGTCTCACAGCAGGAACCTAGGTGGGGCTGGGGCATTTAGTTCCTTTTTGAGTTTCCTATGGGGCAAGTCAGGCCCCCACTCTGGATTTTGTTACAGGACTACTACTCGGTCACATGCAGCCTCTGAATGAATTAGAGAAAGGTGCTCCCTGTGGGTAGAGTAGTGGAGTAACGGCTGGATTTTAGTCTCATCTCACTGTCTTGTGCAGTGAACAACCCGTTCAACTGTAAGCTCTGGCCCTGCAAAGTCTCTCTAGAGCCGTGACTTTGTCTTAGACAAACCTCCATTAACTAAGTTCGCTAGGTTGATAGATAAAAGGCCCACTGATTATTTATCTTTGAGAAGCCACTATCACGGGGATTCAGATACCTATGTCATTAGTAGTGAGTACATTCGGAGCCAGTTACATGTATCAACTAATTTAACCTTCACGATTACCCTATGATACTACCATCAACTTCATTTTGAACATATGAGGAGTCTGAGGTTCACAGAAGTGAGGTAGTCTGCTCAAGGTCACCCAGCAAGTAAAGGACAGAGCTGGATTTGAACCCAGCTGTCTAGTTTCCTCAGGCAAAGCAATGAGAGGCCCCACCTCCCTTGGTCGTTGCTGAGCTGGGACCTGTGAAGGTCATTATTGGCTCTTCACCTTGTTTCTGGCTTGTGTTTGAACAGCCACACATCAGAACGGGCAGTCTTTTCTTAGATGTGCTAATACTTTCACTCACCAGGGGTACAAAGTCTGGGATCCACTCTGTAACCTTCAGACAACTTTGTGAATCTTTGCTCTGGACTGCAGGCTCAGGACTTCAAGGCTTCCCTTGGAGGGCAGTTGCTTCACCCTCATTTCTTAGTTATTTCGGGACATCTCCCCAGAGGACCCAAGTTCTGACAACCAACTCCCACTCAGATAACCAGAAAATACCAACCAGTCTGAACATTTCAGAGGGCGGATTGTCCAGTGTTGCTCTATACAGTGAAATTTTGAAACGTTGCAAGCAAAATAAATAATTTTTTTTTTTAAAAAAAAGAGAAAAAAAATCTGGAACATGTAGATATTTTGATGCTTTCAGGAAGCTGTTAGAGGAACCCTAGTGTGAAGCCTTTTGTTAAGTCCCAGGACCAGGTTTGTAAATCAAACAATTACCCTCTAGCCAGATAAAAACAACAGCTTCCATTTCCTGGCATTTACTACAGACTAGAAACCGTGCAAGTGCAAGGGCTTCACATCCTCCTCCTCCTCCTCCTCCTCCTCCTCCTCCTCTCTCTCTCTCTCTCCTCTCTCTCCTCTCTCTCTCTCTCTCTCTTTGTAGGAGTTTTATTGTGACATAACTCACATACCGTCCCATCCACCCTTTTAAAGCAGGCAGTTTGGCATTTTAAGTATATTCATTCACAAGACGTGCGACTGTCACCACTACCTCCATCTGTCACATTTCCGTGATCCCAACAAAGAAACCCAGTTAGCCATCACTCCTCGTTCCCTCTCCTGGCTAGCCACTAACCCACTTTTGTTTTCATGGATTGGCCTGTTCTGAACATTTCACGTAAGTGAAGCTGCACCTGTGGCCTTTTGTGCCTGCATCTTTTCACTTAGCATAAGGTTAACCAAGGTCCATCCAGGTTGCCGCCTCTATCAATCACACACTTCGCTCCTCTTTAGGATCAAACAATATTCCATTGTGCGCACGTGCTACATTTTGCTTATCTACTCATTTTGCTTATCAGCTGATAGGCCTGTGGGTTATTTCCACTTTTCGGCTACCATCATCTCCTAATCCTCTCGCCACTCTTAGAAATTATGTGTTGGGATCCCTGGGTGGAGCAGCGGTTTGGCGCCTGCCTTTGGCCCAGGGCGTGATCCTGGAGACCCGGGATCGAATCCCACGTCGGGCTCCCGGTGCATGGAGCCTGCTTCTCCCTCTGCCTGTGTCTCTGCCTCTCTCTCTCTCTGTGACTATCATAAATAAATAAAAATTAAAAAAGAAGTATGTGTTGTCCTCTGTGGACTGACTGGATGAAGCACACTTTCTTAGAACACTGAAAAATGACAGATCTTCCTAGGAATTGGTTGGCTGGACTTAACAGTCCCAGGGACCAGTCAAGCACCGCTTCCTTCGTCAGAAAAGAACAGGTGTTCTGGTTTGAAACTGGACCACTCTCTTGCACCATACACAAAGATAAACTCAAAATAGATGAAAGATCTAAATGTGAGACAAGATTCCATCAAAATCCCAGAGGAGAACTCAGGCAACACCCTTTTTGAACTTGGCCACAGTAACCGGAGAAGGACAAACAGTGTATGTTCTCATTCATTTGGGGAATATGAATAATAGTGAAAGGGAATAGAAGGGAAGGGAGAAGAAATGGGTGGGAAATACCAGAAAGGGAGACAGAACATAAAGACTCCTAACTCTGGGAAATGAACTAGGGGTGGTGGAGGGGGAGGAGGGCGGGGGGTGGGGGTGAATGGGTGATGGGCACTGAGGGGGGCACTTGACGGGATGAGCACTGGGTGTTATTCTGTATGTTGGTAAATTGAATACCAATAAAAATTAATTCATTAAAAAAAAAAGAACAGGTGTTCTGGATTTTAGCTCTTTTCCCAACCCCAGGTCTGACTTCAATCAACCGAAGATGTCCTGAGTCATGGATCCAGCTCCTCTTGGAGTAGAGAGAGATATTCCTGTCGGAAAGTTCTGGCCTCCCTTTGGTGCTCGGAGGACTCCGGGGGACCATCTGGCCCTTCCCCAGCCCCCAAGAGGCTCCCCACTTGCAGAAGAGCGCAGTGGACCAGAGGCTCCGTTCAGGTACCGCATCCGACAGAGCGGGGTGGCGGGGTGGCGGGGGGAGGGGGGGTGACTTGGGCAAGTTGCAGACCCTCGCGGGGGCTCTGCTTGGTTATTGGGGACCCGAGGGCGCAGCGTGGCTCCAGAGCTGCTCAGGAGCGGGTCAGGGGCCTGATCTCCTGGTCAGCGCCACTTCCTTGGGAAGGCCTGGGAAGGCCTGGGAAGGCCCCCGGGCACCTCCCCGCGCCCCTCGGGCCAACGTGCTCTGCACTTCCCCTTCATTACTTGATCAGTCCACGACTATGGATTCTGATGCTCTTCCGTGCGCGTGTGCACCCGCCGTGCGCGGTACCGGGGACCCCGTGGCCTTGCCCCGCCCTCGGAGCCCACCAGGGCCCGGGCCGCCGCGGGAAAGCGGCGCAGAGGAGGGAGAGCGTCCGCCCCGGGGCACGCGGGGCTCCGCCGCACACGCCGAGCGCGCTCTGCCCCCCTGGCCCGGGAAGATTTTCCTAACGACTGTCCTCCCGCAAGCGCCAACGGAAAACTGCAGCGCGGGGACAGCGAGCGAGGCGCGGGGGCACTGGAGGGGAGAGCGGCACCTGCGCAGCGGGGGGGGGCACCTGCGCAGCGGGGGGGCACCTGCGCAGCGGGGGAGGGGAGGGCCGCCGGCGGGTCCTGCGCAGGCGCAGCCGCGCCCCCGCGCTCCTGGCCCCGCCCCGCCCCGCCCCTCCCTCTCCAGTCCCCGCGCCCGAGCGCGATCAGCTGACGCGGCGCCGCGGCCGTCACGTGACGGTGGGCGGGGCGTCGGCGCAGCGCGCAGGCGCAGATCCCAGCGGCTGGGTCAGCTGACCCGAGGGAGCCGCTCGAGCCGACTTCGGCCGCTTCGCTGGGCCCCGGAGCGTCCGCCGCCGCCGCCGCCGCCGCCGCCATGGCCAGCCAGTCGCAGGGCATCCAGCAGCTGCTGCAGGCCGAGAAGCGCGCCGCCGAGAAGGTGTCGGAGGCCCGCAAGCGTGAGCTTTGGGGCGTGGGACGGGCAGCCGGCGGGGCGCGGGGTGCAGGGGACGCGGCCGGGCCGCGGGAGGCGGCGGCGGTGGTGGACGAGGCCCGGAAGGCGGGCGGCGGGGGGCCTGCGGGGGCCTGCGGGGGCCTGCGGGGGCCTGCGCGCGCGGGAGGGGGCTGCGCCGGCGGAGCGCGTCGGCCCCGCCCCCGTCACTCGCTGCTCGGGCCCGCGGTCTCATTGTGCGCGGCTGCGGGGCCTAGAAACCGCCCTCCGCGCTGTTGTTCGGCCTAGAAACCGTCCTCTTCGCGGCTGCGGGGCCTAGAAACCGCCCTCCGCGCGCCTGCGGGGCCTAGAAACCGCCCTCCGCGCTGTTGTTCGGCCTAGAAACCGCCCTCTTCGCGATTGCTTGACCTAGAAACCGCCCTCTTCGCGGTGGCGGGGCCTAGAAACCGTCCTCTCTGCCATCTTCTCTCCCTCGCGGTGTTTAGCCAGTCGCCCAGGTGTTCACTCCCCCTCCCCCCTCCATCCCGACACCTAGCATCTTAGGCCGGGACACTAGGTTTTCTGAGGCTCCGGTACCAGCCTAATTGTTAATTCCTTCCCCCCCCCCCCCCCCGTGGTTACTGTGCCAGAGGCCTTGCCCGGTGCACCAGCGTTTCCATCCTCACGGTATTCGGAGTCCCGGTGAAGGGAGCAGAGAGTGGGCCGGGTAGTGGCAGGTGAGACAGGGTTAGAGTTGAGAAGTGGAAGGTTGCTCAGGAGCTTCGCAGGTGGATCTAACCGGGACTGGTGAGCGGAAGAAGGCCGCTGCCGCCTCCCAAGTCCAAGTGTGTTCTCCCCGCTGGAGTGCGAGCCCTCCCGGGGGTGCGAATAGGACTTCCCCACGGCCTTAAGGAGCCTCAACAAATGTTGAGGGCCTGCAGAGTAACTAAAGCCCAGGTTCCTTGATGGGGGGTGGGGGTGGGGTGGGCAGCGTTTTTGGATCAGGAGCTAGCTTTCTTCCCTTCTCCCTCTCAGGTTCTCTCCTCCAGGCGTCCTGAACCACCCGAAGCCTTATTTCACCTGCAAGCCTTTGCACAGCTCTTCTCTGCTTGGAGGTGCTTCTTCTTAGTTTCCACACTCTTTTCTCTGACACTTAGGAGTCCTTCAGATCTCAGAATGTAGGCAGCAGTTCTTCCAGGAAGCCTTCCCTGCTTTGTCCTCCTCCGCTCCAGCTAGGCCAGGAGCCCTTCCTAAGAGCTTATTTCTGTCTTCGCGGTGCAATGCCTTGTTTCTTTAGGTGGCTCAGTCGCTAGACCAAGCTCCTGGATTACAGGGACTGTGTGTCATTTAAGGGTACGTATTCGTTTCCCCGCCTGGTGAGGTAGGTCTTCGTGTCCCTGTTATACAGTTGGGTGACGCGAGGCGTGAGAAATGGTTTGACCCTGCCCTGGGAAGCAGCCTAGAGGCCTCTTTTCCCTTGCAAGGGTAACATAGCAAGATCTGTTACTGTTAGTAATTCCTTGGTGTTTCTCCCCTTACAAGACTTAGGATTTTATCCCACACCCAAGTAGATTTCAAGCATGGCTCTTGTACTCTATGGCCAAGGGCCGTGTGAGGCTCTGTGCTTCAGAGGAAAAGTTTTCTTTGAGGGAGCTGGGGGTGGGAACAAGCCTTTTATTCTTGCTCTGGTCACTGGAAAGAATATTTCTCATCACGCCCTTGATAAGCTATTTCCAGAATGACTTCTCAGAGTATGTCCTGTGATGGCTCCTTAGTAACAGAAGTTGTGTCTGTGGGGAGGCATGTGAGATGATTCAGGGGAGGGGCAGGAACAAATACTGGGAATATAGGAAGAAGAATTGAGTGCCCCGGAGGTAGGGGTCACGTTTTACGCTTCTCTTTATCTCTTCAAACTTGGTGCAGGATCTTGTGTGTCTCAGATAGCTTTTTGATATATACTGAATGAATTTGTTTTAAAGGAGTAAGTTTATGGCTAGAATACATCTCAGAATTTGTAGTACTTAGGAACAGAAGTATTGACAAGAGCTGTAATTTGAAAAGAATCACTGCCCTTCTTGATCAGAAACAAAATGCTCGCTCCCTGAAAAATAAGGTTTAAAAGAAATATGATTTCCTTTTCAAATATTTAGTTTTGGTTTTCGGAGAATCCCATCAGAAATGAACTTTGAAGGTATGATGGGCAGAGCATGATTTTATCTTCATTCAGAGAGCTGTGGGAATTGAGAGTGACAAAAAGAGTGGTATTGTGTAATTATGTGGAGGTAGCATAATGTTTGAGCCGTAAACGTTATTTGTAGATTGTTGGTTTGGAAAAGATCTTCGGCTCTGAAATACGGCTTTGAATGTAGCCGATGAGGAGGATGGCACTTGGAGGAAAGGGGAATTTGGCTCACGTGGACAGCAGCGGGCCCTAAATAAATACCGGAGTAAACCTGCACTTGCAGAGATAGTCTCTGGGTGCTTAAATCTGTTGATTGTTGTACCAGAAACATCAAGGAGTGTTGATGTCATGGGGTCATTATACATCCAAAATCCTGTTCTTCGTTAGGAGACAGAAGGTTTAATTCAGTTTCATTCACGCCTGTGGGTTGAGTGGGATTTGGGAAATTATATACATTGATGTCTAACAAAGCTTGCTTTTAGATGTAGGATGTCTTTGCTCTAAATTCAATAAATGCTCAGGTTGATCGTCTTAAGTTCTCCTCCCCTCTCCCCCCAACTAATTTGGGTATCTGAGAAGTTTGATCAGCGAGCCTAGATTCAAAACAAAGAATATGTGCTGGTTGGTCTTGTGGCCTGTTTTCATACAGGCTCCCATGGCATCTAGAGAATTTTCTCAACTGTGTGTTTATTTTCTTCAAGAAACCAGAGCACCTGTGTCTCCTCGCTTCTTAGATGCTTGCGCAGTCTTAACTATCCAGTGCTCCCCATTCAGGATTCCTTTCCAGAATCCCTTTCATCGCTTATTTTCTTGTGCACAGGCATGGTTTTTAGTTTCCAATATTACATCATCTGTTTCATTAGTTACAGTTTAGGTTGATGTCCCTTGGGAGCATATTAGTCTTGCTCAGCTTCTCAGCAGAGCTCTGGTTGTCATCAGCGAGCTACTTAGGTGTTTACTTGTTGGGAAGAGGAGGAGTTCCCCCCAGATGGCTAATGTCACCCATTTTATGTTCTTAATAGTGGAGATGGAGAGAATATTCTGACACATTCCAGAATTTTTCCCATCATTTACAGTATCATTTGGGAAGACTGTCCTTTTGACCTAGTCACTTCCTAGTTAAGTACAGCCTGAAGGAGGCAGGAACCTGTACCGGCAGTTAGCTCTGTATTCCCTCTTTCCCATGCATGTCTCTTGGGACTGCACCTTAAAATTTTTTTTCCTTGTTTACTGTTAGAATTTACCATCTCAGTCTCTCCTTCCTCTTCTGCTTGTCTTTTAACCACTTCTTGATGTAGCTTTTTCCTTTGAAAACAGGAAAGAACCGGAGGCTGAAGCAGGCCAAAGAAGAAGCTCAGGCTGAAATTGAACAATACCGTCTGCAAAGAGAGAAGGAGTTCAAGGCCAAGGAAGCTGCGGTGGGCCTGGTTTATTTTCATTATTGCTTTAATTCCTGAGGCTTTCCTCTTCTCCCCTTTTCCCCAGGGTCTCAAAATATCCAGCACAGCTTGGAGATTGTGATTCTGAAATTTGAAATTTGAAAATTTGGCTATTGCATGTCCAGGCTGAGTCTCCTAGGTGATCAGCTTTTAACTGACTTTGAGTGCTAGTGTTCACTTACTCAGTCATTTCACAAATATCTATTCAACATGTTAATCTGTGCTAGATGCTAGGGGATCAGCTGTGAACAGAGATAGACACAGTCCCTGTCTCGTGGAGCTTAGTTTATAGTCTGATGGTCAGTCTAGTCTGACTCAGTAACAAAGTACAGGTCATGCAAACCTACAGCTGTGAGAAGGGCTGTGGTGGTCATAAACATCTGCCAGCTGGAGCCCACTCCAGTGTAGTCGACACACTCAGCAACAGGGTAGGCTGGGCTATGAAGCAGAAGATGCATGCAATAACAGTACAACAACAGATCATGAAACGGAGAATTCTGGAAAGGGGGAGGATGGCGGAGGGCTTCACAGAGAAAAGAAACTGTCAGGACTGTAGGATACAAGTAATAGAAAACAATTCAAACAGGTTTTAAGCAAAGTGAAGTTTATTGGTGTACGTAATTAAAAACTCAGGTGAAAGGCTAACTTTATTTTGATCCAGGAGCTTAATCTCTCAGGACATTATTTCCATCTTTCAACTCGGCCCATGTCTTTGTGGGCTTCATTCTCAAGTCTACCTTGTGACCTTCACTGGTTCCAGGCACACACCCTCTCAGGCCCAAGTCCAGTGATTAAAGCCACATGCCTCTCTCATTGCAGTAAGTGGCAGAAGTGTCTTTCATCTTTGCACTGGACTGTTTCAGTGCTATTGAGACTTCAGATATCTCTGACTCGAACTGGGGCAGATCGGTGCTGTAAGCTGCCAGACTGCCCACAAGACAGTGTAGAAGTACTCTTGTCAGGGCAGCTGCCTCCTCTAATTTGTACATCGATGCTGCAGTTGCTTCTAGAGACAGGATCAGTGCTGTGATACAAGCATGAGCTCTGAGGTTTCCTAGCATGTTCATTGTAACCCCTTCAGCTTTGAGACAACTTACTGAGGCCAGGCATATAGTTTATATTCATAGAATGGAGGTACTGTCTGTCCCCTTTTCTCCTCCCTCCTTCCCCCCAAGTACTGGGTTATGGACCTTTTAAAAATAAGAGCAACTGAGCTAACTAACAGGAAATGCCCCTCTGTCTCACCAATATGAGCAGTTACGGTAACAATAAAGGATGAAGAGTCCTAAGTTTGAACTCGGGAAACTGCATGTTCACTTTGAGCTCTTTTTTTTTTAAGATTTTATTCATGAGAGAGACAGAGAGAGAGGCAGAAACTTAGGCAGAGAGAGAAGCAGGCTCCACGCAGGGAGCCCAATGTGGACTTGATCCTGGGATTCCAGGATCGCACCTTGGGCTAAAGGCAGGCACTCAACCTCTGAGCTACCCAGGTGTCCCTCACATTGAGCTCTTTTAGCTTTGGTTTTCTCATCTGTGATGGCCTCCTTACAGGTTATGGAGGACTAGGTGACATGTGAGAGAATGCTTTCACCTTGTGCACTAGAGAGCATGTACAGCTTGGAAGGGACATAGTTGTTAATACATATGGAAAGAGGCAAGAGCAGCTCAGAAGATAGGGTCAAACACAAAAAAGTTTCGTCTTCAAGAACCTGATGGGAGACTTCCCTAAGCTACTTCCTCAAGCTCTGGGATGAGCCCTCCCCACCCCTGTTCCTGCCCGGGGACTCCTCCGGCTCTCTGTGTGTAAACTGCATGTAGGCACTGGCTCTCCTGTGTGTCTGCCCACGCAGGGGAACACAGTGCTCTGGGCTTCCTCCGGGAACCCCTCACTCCATCCCTCCCTGTGCAGCCTCAATAACGTTTGCACATTCCCTGCCTGGGGCCCAAGCCGCTCCCTCTTGGTGCCCCGGGGCTGCTGTTCCCTGGACAGGGCCCTCATCTCTGTTCTGCCTCTGGCTGGGTTGCCTTCCTGGGCCTGCTAAGTTCTGACAGTGCCTGACCCTCCCGAGGGCCTCCAAGAAAAGTATTCTTACAGCTTTCTCCCTTTCTTATTGACTTGTTAATAAAGGGCTTATAGAAGAAGAAGAAGAACCTTGATCAAGGTCTCATTCTAACAAAGTAGGCATACCCTTGATGGAAAGCTGACTATACGGTGAAGACTAAAGTATATATGTCAGTATCTATTAAAATTGTGAATGGAGATTAAAAGAATAAGACGTGAATATGGCAAAAAATTCAAGCGGTAAAATAGGCAACGATGAAGTTAGTCTTAGTCTCCCTCCCACCCAGACCTGCAGTCCTCCTCAGAAATAGTCACTTATTAATAATTTCTTGCATATTCTTCTAGAGTATTTATGTATTTGTTTCCTTTTTTTTTTTTTTTTTAAAGATTTTATTTATTCATGAGAGACAGAGAGAGAGAGGCAGAGATACAGGCAGAGGGAGAAGCAAGCTCCATTCAGGGAGCCTGATATGGGACTTCATCCCGGGACTCTAGGATCATGCCCCGCGCCGAAGGCAGGTGCTAAACCGCTGAGCCACCCAGGGATTCCCGAGTATTTATGTTTGAAAGAATAGATGTCATGTATACATAATACTGGTGAATCCAGTGCTGAATATAAGAGCTAGAATGTTAACTAGTAATGTTGAAACTGTTTCTTCAAAATTGCATCCCCTTCCACCCTTATTTTTTTTAAGAGGTGTTCTTTTTTTAATAACCTCATTTATCTCTCCCTTTTAAAACAACACAAACACATTTACCAACCACACTGACACCATTTTATATCTTGCTTTTTCCCCGTTAAACTGCATATTTTACAGTTCGTTCTGTCTTGCAGCACACATCTACTTTATTTTTCTTTATAGCTGAGAATGTTCTCTGGAATAGGTACCCCATGATTTGTTTAACCAGTCCTCAGTTATTGGATCTTTAGGTTCATTCCAGTCTTTGGTTAGGGCTATACGTTTGACATAGAATGAATATATTGCTCTCTGGGGTGATTTCTGAGTAGGGGAAATGTGCAGTTTACCTTTGATCGATGTTTGAAGGTTGGCCACCAGAGTGATTGCATCAGTTTTTGCTCCCATTAACTGGGAACGCCACCTTCCCACCTGCTCTTCAGTCACAAGGTTACGTTGCCTGTTGCTGATGATTTGTATTCACTGATGAGACTGGGTTTTTCCAGAACTAAGGAAGTTGGACCAGCCTGAGTGTCGACCTGACCTTCCCTATGTGTCCTTACCCCTCCCCCGACTCCAGGCTCTGGGATCCCATGGCAGCTGCAGCACTGAAGTGGAGAAGGAGACCCAGGAGAAGATGACCATCCTCCAGACCTACTTCCAGCAGAACAGGGATGAAGTCCTGGATAACCTCTTGGCCTTTGTCTGTGACATCCGGCCAGAAATCCATGAAAACTACCGCATCAATGGATAGGAGAGGAGGAAGCAGCTCTGTGAGCAGATTGGCATTTTATATGCCTTCCTGGAATATGAAGCTTCAGCACAGCTTGAGTTACATCCTTGTGAAAAGGCATTAAATTATTTCTGTATATTATAGTGTAGGTCCCTTCACTTTTTGGAGAATAGCAAATCGAGCTTCTTTGTACAAACGTAGAGCTTATCCAAAGATTTTCTCCTTTTACCTCATTATTTCTTAGAAATTTAATGTGCATATGTTCTGTTTTCCTATGCCTTTTAGCTCAAGCAACATATATATCGGTACTTTTTCTTTCTTAGATGTAGTTAAAATAATTTTTTTTTTTTTTTTTTGTTTAAAAGAAAGAAAGGGATTAAATATTTTTTTCCCTAAAGCTTTCTTGAAGGTCAGGGGCTTTATCTATGAAAAAGTAGTAAATAGTTAATTGTAACTTGTGTGAAGCAGCAGCCAGCCTTAAAATAGTCCTTTCTGGCTAAGGGGCAGAACAGCAAATACTAGTATAATTGTTTGGGCTGCTTTTATTTTCTCTCAATCAAAATTATTAGATGATAGAATTCAAGAACTTGTTACATGTTATTACTTGGTATACTGATAATCATTAAAAAGTAAAGACTTTGGCATGCAATCCCCTCCTGCCCCCCCCTTCATCCTTTTTGATGATGCAGAGTACACTTTGACCTAGATGTTCTGCAGAATTTCACGTAGGAAATTAAATTAGCAGATGTATCACATACACATTTGCATGCATACTCAGAAAATATTTTTCGTATTTATCTTAGCAGGAAGGAAATCACTTGTGATTTAGCCCAACATCCGGTTCGAAAAACAGCATCAGACTAGTAAGTCTGCAGTTTGCCTCTTCTCTAGAGCACGCTGGACTAGTGCAGCCTTGGGCCGGTTACCAAGCAGATTTCCTCCCTGGCGGGCTAAATGATATGTGTAATACCTATAGGAGCTTCACACTAGCTCTGTAAGAGTTCAATGCTCTGTGACTCTCTGTTAGCTGAAAGTCTTTGGCTGCAAAATAATTTCTAGTGGACATAGAGTTGAGAGAGAACATGAATGGGATTTCCTTGCTTGTTGTGAAATAGCATGAGAGCAGTAGACGCCCTTATAGGAATCACATTTTATGAGACTCACGATGGGTTGCTTGCAGGCCATGTTCGTCACTAGTTACTATTCCGTTTTATAGTGCGATTCCTCATAAGAGTTTTCTAGGTGAGCTTTTCCAGTTTTTACTGTTCAAGCACTCCAGTCAAGCTTTCCACTCCACTGAAACCACATGTCAAGGTCAGCAGTGATGAGCAGATTGAGAGGTCCAGTCTTCTTCCTACTGGACTTTCAGTCCTGTTGGACAGGGTTGACTAGTTCTTCTTGAACCCACTTTGTTAGCTTTGTTCTGCAGGGATGTGCTACTTTGCTCCTCCGTCTCTTGCTTTAGTTCTGATTCTTTTTCCAGGGATTTGTTCTTGGACGTCTCTACACTCATTTCCTTGTTGAAACCCACCTTCTTTTCATGGCTTTAAATATTTGTGCTGAAGACCCAAAATTTATATCCAGCGTCTCTCTCCTGAACTCTAGAGTTGTCAATTGCTTATTTGCTATTTTGATTTGGATATCTAATAAACATCTCCATCTTAACATGGTTCCACACTGTACCCAGTTTTGTTAGGACTTTACTCCTGATGCACCAAACCCCACCTCTGTCTACTGTAAATACAGATTTCCCGAACTGGAGGACCATGAAGAAGCAAAACCCACATTCACCAGTTGAGAACCAGTATCTAACCTGTTGGCCACCAACATTTTCATCCTGGGTTAGTAGGGTTGTACTTACATATGCTTCTGCTGACTCTTCCCTTCAGGCCAACCAGCTGAATGTTGGTAGAGCTGAAGAAGCAACCTAAGGAAGTACTTAAAAAATGTGATCTAGGGTCAATTGAGAGGAAAGATAACATCTGAACAGAGCTTGGTGATCTGGGAGAGAGGAACTGAAGTGGTCTGAAGAGTGACTAGAATGTAGAGTGAGTGGAGAAACTTGGCTGGGAAGGGGAGGGGGCAGGGGAAGAGCGGCAGTGGCGGCTGATGGAGGGCGTGGTTTAAGGGAAGGGAATAGAGGGAGTGAGATCCCCAGAGGTATGGAGGCTGTAAAGAGCACAGATGGGGGGACTAGCTCTAGCCTTCCAGCTTGACGGTACTCAGGGAAAATGGGTGCTTGGGTGCTAGTAGGCCAGTTGAATCGATTGCTGGGAGTGGGGCCAGGACTTGGGTTTTAAGAGCTCCCTTCTATTGTGGCCTGACATGATCAACTAGCATCTGTTTGGTTCTTTGACCACTAAGGCAGATAATGTTGGTTCTGACATGGGATGAACTAATGACCTCCAAGATACACATATATGTAGAACAATGTGTGATTTGTTCCCACTGAGCATAAAAAAAGGATATTCACATGCCTCTATTTGTATTTGCAGAAGGTACCGGAAGGTAAAAGAACATGGCACTAATAGTTCATCTCAGAAGAGAGGGTCTGGGCTGCCGTGGGAGGGCTTTTTGCGTTCATTTACAAGGTCATTCAGCAGTGTCCTTGGCCTCTCCTCATTGGACACCTGTACTGGCCCTTCAGTTGTGACAACCAGAAATACCTCCATTGTCAGATGTCCCCTGGGGGCCCAAACCACCCCCAGTTTAAGAACCACTGTCCTGTAGCAACAACAGAATTCTCAAAAACAAAGTACCACATGTGATTCCTGGAACATACCATTTGCTCAGCAAATGTTTCCTAATTTTCTAAAACCTGCTTTTCCTTTCCCCCTCCTAATCATCCTTGATTTATACGTCTAATACTAGCTGTTACTTGTCAGGGCAGGATACACTGAGACCTCGGCTTCATAAAGGTTTATTTCTTATGATGTCGGGTACAGGTTTAGTCACCACAGGGCAGCTGTTCTCCATGCAGTCATTCAGTGACTCAGTTTACTTCCCTTTTGCCTCACTACCATCTTAGCACGTGGTTTCCACGATTGCAGAGGCAGGGGAAGGAAAAGTTGGCAAACATGCACCACCAGCTCTTACATGCTTCACTCCTGAAAGGACACGTGACACCTGTTCTCAGCCCACCGACCAGCGTGGGTTGCATGAGCCAACCTAACTGCAAGGCGCCTAAGACGGGAGAGCCCAGGCATACTTGGATATTCGGTTAGTAAAAAATGTCCGCTGGAGTTGTTCACAGCTTCCTCCATGCTGGCTGCTGTTCTGAGGGCTTCTGCATCGACATTAGCTAATCTAGGCTATGAGGCAGTGAGGGTGCAAGGATGAGCGGTGCGGGAGCCAAGACAGGGACTGGCAGTCTAGCTTAGCATCTGTGCTTAACCACTGTGTGTGCTCAGCACTGAGCAGATGTGTCTCCCCGTTTACGCTTCTCACCTATGTGATTCTTTCCACTTTACATCTCTCGCATCCTAGATTAATTGCTCCTCTGGGCAATTTCTCCTTTTAAATTTTATTTTAAGTGGGCTCCCCGCCCAGCACGGGGGCTTGGAATCATGACCCCGAGATTAAGAGTCGCATGTTCTACCGACTGAGCCAGCCAAGCGCCCCTCCTCCGGGCAATTGGATGTCCTGTGAACCGCTGTCTAGAAAGACGGATGCCCTCACTATTGCCCATTACAAGCACAGAAACTCTTTTGGCCATTCTATTTGGTGCCGTAACTCAGACCCACTGAAGTTCTCCTTGACAGAAGGCATAAAATGGCTTCTAGCAAGTCAGACCTTGTGTGTAATCCCTACAAATTTCCTCAGGACATACCTTCCCGCCTTATGGGCGGGGGGAAAAAACCCCCTGAGTTTCTGAAAGTTTGTTGGAGGCCATGCGAGGAATCACTGCGCTTCGAGTGAGGGAGCCTGTGTTCCAGGCACCTGTGTGAACCCGAGGGCCCTGCAGTTCCGGTGTGTGATGCCACTTCATGGATGGGGAAGCTGAGGCCTACAGAATGCTCCTGGTCACGGAGTAAGGAAGTGACCGTGGGCGTCCAGTCCAGTCGGGTCAGCCTGACAGCTGCAAGGGAAAACCTACCCGCAGGCTTTCCCGAGGCCTGTGGTGGGTGGGGTACTCCCTAACTAAAGCTTCAAAGCCTGTAGCTAAGGTTCTTGGCACACTCGTCTTCCCGCCAGGAGGCTGGCGGTACCAGGAGTCGAGGGATGCCGCTCGGTGAGGGGGACCTGTTCCAACGAGTCTGGCACGCTCCTCGTCTCTCACCTTGCACACTTCTTTCCTTCAGGGGCAATCCGGCCGACCTCCGAGTGTTGTTCTGTCAACTAGCTCCTACCACTTCGGCGGCTCTGAAATTACCGGAAGCGCTTCCATACAGGCAGGCAGCTTGGGTTTTGCTCCTTCTACTCCCCTTCCCCTGCGTAGGCTGCTCTGAGAGGCAGGAGAGGCACCATCTTTACTGAAAGATTTGGCCAGTAGTTCTGGGGGAGGAAGCCGCTGGATCATGTCAACATTTATCATCTCTGGCTTTTTTTTTTTTTTTAAAGATTTTATTTATTCATGAGAGACACACAGAGAGAGGCAGAGACACAGGCAGAGGGAGAAGGAGGGAGAAGCAGGCTCCACGCAGGGAGCCCGACGTGGGACTCGATTCCGGGTCTCCAGGATCACGCCCTGGGCTGAAGGCGCGTTAAACCGCTGAGCCACCCCGGCTGCCCTCATCTCTGGCTTTTGAAGAACTTCTGGGTCAGATGTTAATTCAAGGCTCACTGTTTGGAGGGCATGAGAGTTAGGAATGGGTGGGCTTGGGGGGCCAGGGGCACACAGCCTCCCCCCCCCCCCTTTCTCCTCCTTGAAGGGAGGGAATAGTGGCAGCATTCTGGAACACGCGGAGGAAAGGGCCCTGAAGACAAGATGGGAGAAGCTAGGCTGGAGGTTCCAAGGACATGACTGGGTTGGCTGCCCGTGTGCAGTTTGTAAAGGTCCAAAGACCAGAGGGTGGAGCTCCCTAGTTGAGAGCCTGAGTCCTTCCCATTGCCCCTCCCAACCCGACGTGAGCTCTCCCTCTTTTATTCTCTTTGTATCTGTCAGTGGCTCTTCAGCAGAGTGGAAACGGCCTGGACACCCCAGGCCTTCTGGGCAGGAATTCAGAGTATTTCTTGTCTGGTTCTGACCCAGTTTCCCGGCAAGCAGCGTGTGACTTGTCTTCCTGCCCGCGCACCTCCTGACCAGGACGGCTGTGTGTGGGGTTCCGGGCTCTCGCGTGCGGTTAGACCTACCTGCTTAAACCTACCTGCGTCTATCCCGCCGCCGAGAGCTCCCTGCGCAACTGCGAGTCCACGTCCTGGAGTCCTCAGCCAAGGAAAATTCTGTCGGAATTAATGCATTGGAAGTAATTTTAAAAATAGCTCACATTTACTGACGTTTTATACCAGAAAAAAATTCCAGGCGCTTTATATACACAGTTAAATTCTCCCAGTGTCTCCTGAGCTAGGTAGGTATCCTTATTCCCAGTTACGCATTAGGAGGCCGAGGCGCTTGGCGCTGAAGTCACTTGTGCCCAAGGACAGAGCCAAGTTAGCGGCAAAGTCTGGATTTGAACCCGGGTCTGTCTAGCTTCCCAACCTGAGCCTCGATGACTCAGTTGAGATTGTTCAGGCCACGGCAACGTTTTAAGTGGTAGGTTTCTAAAAGAGGAAGTCAGTGATACAGAACAGACCGGTTTCAAAAACAAGATCTAATTCCTAAGCGTGTTTATCACGTACCCAGCGGTTCTGAGCTGCCCCCCGCCCCCCGCGTGTCCCGTCTGCCAGGCTCGGAGGAGCTTCGTTCCTTCGCACCTCATCCAGGTTGGCGGAGAGTCGCGGCCCGCCCTCGCACACGACTCTCTAACCCTTGCGGACACGACAGGACAGATGGTGAACTGCTGAGTAATGGTGACTGGCCGGAGCGTGTGCTTATTTGGATCTATCTGCAGCTGAAGCCCTGATGGTTTCACTCACGGCCGTTCATTCACTACTCCGGACGCGTGTGGCAAGCGCCGAGGGCAGGGAGCCGGGGGGCAGCGGGGAGCATGGGCAGAAGTAGCCTGTGCCCCAAGGTGGGCACTTCCGCGATGTTAGCAAGGAGCACCTCGCGGGCTAGGGGCGGCTGCAGGGTCAACGAGGACGACTCTGAGAACGGGGGGACTGGCCGGGGCCCCGGGATAGGAAAGGGCTCCTGGAAGAAGGGCCCTTTCACCCGAGACCTGAGACTGTGTCCGGCAGTCACGTGGTGAGGTAGGATGGGGTTTGGGGTTACTTTCCAGATGCAGAGGGATGGCAACCACTGAGAACTGGAAGTGAGAGAGGGCATGGGGGTTAGGAGGAACCGAGAAATGCTCTGTGTTCTTGGAGCTTAGGGGCTTTTGGGGTTGAGGGGAGCCTGTATAGATGACTCTGGGGCAGGCGGGGAGGGGAGGGGGCCCCACGTGCAGCCTTGCGAATCTGTGGAGATGCTGCTACCCAAGTCCGCTTCCCAGAGAACTCCACTAGACTAGTCCCTGTCCCCTGGATTTTATTCGCCTTTCTCTACCCTGTGGGGCCCGTCTCCCCCATGCCGTGGTGCCGGGACCTCCCGTGCGCTGCACTGGCAGAGAGGCGAGGGGTGCTTTCCTGGCTGGCCCGGAACGCACCTGAGTCCCCCTGAAGACCTCCCGTGACGCCCTTCATCCTCCAAGCCCTACCATCAGGCTAGCAGACACCGATGCCCTTCACGAAGGAGGGAGCTGAAGCTCCGAGGGGTGAGCTCGGCCGTGCAAGTTCACGGGCATGAGTGCTGGAGCCCGGGCAGCCGGGCCCAAAGGCCCACGTCTTCTGGGCCCCCCTAGCCAAGGAGACTCACGTGTCCAAGGGTCAGTTCATGCCGCAGGGACAAGCAGTGAGAGCGTGGGGGCCAGGTAGCCGGGTGGAACAGGCGGGCTTCACGGAGGAGGTGGGCCGTGCAGGAGAGGCGGGTCGGACAGGAGCTGACCAGGCCACACGCCTGGCCTGTGGGAGGATCGATCCCCTCAGTGGCCCCTCAGCACTCAGTGTAGCTCCAGGATCCCAGGGGCTCTCGCTCCCACGCCCCCAAATCGTGTTCTAGGAAACAAGACTAAAGTAGGGGCCTTGTGGAGTGCAGCCCAGCGGATGCCTGTCCTCCGGTGCGGGGGAGGTGAACGGACCTCGCCTCCAGCTGCCCGCTGCCCGGACCCCGCGCCTGGACAGCGTCTGCTGCTGTGGCTCCGTCGCTGGCGCCCCGAGCTCAGCAAGGGGGCCCCGTGGGCTCGGAGGCCCCGGCCACTGGGCAACGTCTGTCGGAGGTAAAAATGCGTCCACTGGGACTCGGCCCGTGCCCTCCAGGAAGGCCGGCGGCGCACGCCCCGAGCGCCGTGGCCGTGGTCGTGGCCGTGGCCGTGGCGTGGCCGCGGGGCCTGGGAGCCCGGGGCCGGGGCCCTTGGCGCGGGAAGGTCCTGGGGCCGCCTGCCGGGGGGGGGGGGGGGGGGGGGGGGGGGGGGCGCTGTGCACGGCAGGCCCGGGGCCCCGTGGCGCGGGGGGCGGCCGCCAGCGTGTGCAGGGCCCCTCCGCCTCCCGCCTCCCGCCTCCCGCCTCCCGGGACCGGACGTGCCGGGGCTGCCCGCGCAGGCGGGGCTGGGGGTGCGCCAGGGCCGGGTCCCCCCCCGCGCGCCCCACACAGGCCCCGCGGGCGGGCACGTGCTCGGCGGCCGGAGGGAGCCCGGGCCGATGATGCAAGGGCGCAGCCTCCCCTCGGGCCCGGAGCCGGCGGCGGCAGCGGCGGCAGCGGCGGCGGCGGCCCCTCCCTCCCGGCGGGTGACGGCGCGGGGCGGCCCGGCCGGGGGCGGGGGCGGGGCGGGGCCGCGGGGCGGGCGCCGGAGGCTGCGGCGCGGAGGGGCTGCGGCGGCCCCGACCTCCCGCGTCCCCGGGGGCGGCGGCGGTGAGTGTGCGCGGGGGCGGGGGTGCGCGGGCTCGGGGGCGGGGGTGCGCGGGCTCGGGGGCGGGGTGCGCGGGCTCGGGGCGGGGGTGCGCGGGCTCGGGCGGCGGGTGCGCGGCTCCGGGGGTGCGCGGGTGCGCGGGTGCGCGGGTGCGCGGGCTCGGGGCGCTCCGGGGCGGGTGCGCGTGCGGGTGCGGGTGCGGGCTCGGGGGCGCGGGCGCGCGTGCGGCGGGGTCGGGGCGCCCCCGGGCTGGGGTCGGCGGCGCGGCGGTCCCTCCGAGCTCCCGGAGCGGCTGGCGGGGCGGGGCGGGGCGGGGCGGGGCGGGGCGGGGCGGGGATCCCGGCGGGGGGACACCCGGGCCGGCCTCGAGGGCAGAGACCGCGCGACAGCGGGCCTGGGCCAGGGCCGGGCGCGCCGCGACCTCCCTCCCGGCCCCGCTCGGCCTCCGACCCGGGCAGGCTCTTTGACCTTGGATGGTTCGCTTTCATCTCTGGGTCTTACTTTCCTCATCTGCAAAATGGAGAGCTAGGGCCCGTCGTCTCTTAAGGCTTTCCCACCCGGCCGCCTCCGTGACAGGCCCCCTTGCGGCCTTTTGCCGGGGCTTTCCAGTCTAACAAAAACAAAACCCGATTTGCGAAAAGTAAGTCTCCCTCCCCTCTCTCCCCCCCTTTCTCCCCCTCTCCTCTCTCCCTCTCTCTTTCCCTCTCTCCCCCCTCTCCCCCCTCCCTCTCCCCCTCTCCCTCTCCCCCTCTCCCTCTCTCCCTCTCCTCTCCCTCTCCCCTCTCCCTCTCTCCCCCTCCTCTCCCCTCCTCTCCTCTCTCCCTCTCCCCCTCCCTCTCTCTCCCTCTCCCTCTCCCCCTCCCCCTCTCTCTCCCTCTCCCCCTCTCCTCTCTCTCCCCTCTCCCTCCTCCCTCTCCCCTCTCTCTCTCCCCCTCTCTCCCTCTCCTCCCCTCTCTCCCCCTCTCTCCCTCTCTCCCTCTCTCCCTCTCTCCCTCTCCTCTCCCTCTCTCCCTCTCCCTCTCTCCCTCTCTCCCCTCCCTCTCCTCCTCTCCCCCTCCCTTCTCCCTCTCTCCCCCTCTCCCCTCTCTCCTCTCTCTCTCCCCCCTTCTCCCCCTCCCTCTCCCTTTCTCCCTCTCCCTCTCCTCTCCCTCTCTCCCTCCCTCTCCACCTCCCTCTCCCTCTCTCCCTCTCTCCCTCTCCCTCCCTCTCTCTCTCCCTCTCCTTCTCTCCCTCTCTCCTCTCCCTCTCTCCCCCCTCCCTCTCCCTCTTCCTCTCTCTCTCTCTCTCTCTCTCTCTGCCTGCCTGTCCATCCCAAGGAGGCACCTGGTTCCCGGGGAGACCCGGCATTCTGTCCCCAGAAACGGAGACCTCTGCTGAGCGGGACTTAGGGACACCACTCTTCCTTGCAGGGGCTCACCCGCTCATTAAAAAAAGAAGTATGACTGGAAGGTCTGGTTGAAATGCAGGATCAGCAAAGGAAGAGCAGGAGCCACTGAGCCTGGGGCTGTGCTCACTTGCTGGCTCTGCCTCCCTCCTGGGGCTGCTGCAGGGCTGAGTGGAGCGGTGGGCCAGGACACAGTGGAGGGTGACAAGCAGTGGGCCAGGACACACTGGAGGGTGACGGGTCCACCCTGCCCTGGGCCGGCGTTGCCAGCACCCACAGCTTCCACGCTCTGCAGCCTGGGTTGGTCCAGGGGCTGCAGGGTGAGTGCAGAGGGCGCTCCGTGGACCCATCCTGGCCTCTGCTGCTCTGCTCCGAGATCCTTGTCTTGCCCGCCCGTCTCCACCTCTGCAGAGCAGTCCTCCCATCCCCTCCCGTCCCCTCCGACCACCTTGTGTGGTCATCTCTCTCAGTCCTCTTTCTCTGAGTTCATCTTTCCCACCAGATGGGATCCCCAGCACGGAGGGCTGACCAAGGGCTTGAGATTTTATTTTTGGTGTCGGAGCTGAGAAAGCACAGGGCCTGACACTTGAAGGTTCCTCGGGAACGTCTGTGGAGGAAAACTAGTGACAGCTGTGTTCCTTGGGTGATTCCTATTTGCCAGGTGCTCTCTGAGTGATTGATGTGCCTGGGCTTTTTTTTTTTTTTTTTTTTTTTTAGCCTCGGTTACCATATTATCTGCCTTTAATGTAAAGAAACTCGAGGGAGAGAGAGAGTTGAGTGACTTGCTCCAGGTGACACGGGCGGAAAACAGCAGGACTGTACAGGTGCTTCTTAACCACTACGTGTTATTTCGGACGAGTGGATGAACTCTGATGGAGACTTTGCAGGAGGCTAACTGGGCCGACTGCGGTGCTGGGACTTCTTCTCCAAGACAGTGCCACAGTGCCTACTTGTGAGGTTTTGTAACTAATGGAAAGTTTCCACGGGGGAAGGATACCTGGGCAGCTCTGGCTTGTGGGTGGTCCCTCCTGCCTGGAGGAGGGTGGGTGCGTTCCTGGGTCCCCCAGGCCTTTCTGAGACTCCGGTACAGCTTCTCTGGGCTGTAGGCTGCTAGCTATGACATCCCTGGGGTGTCTGGGAAAACAGAGATGCTTTCTTGCCTTGGAAATGGGCCTGAGGATTATATTTGCCTCGTGGGCCCAGGAGGTGACGAGAGGAGGCAGGGAAGGGCTTCAGACATCGCCAAGGGCAGGGCAGCCTTCCTTGGGCTGCTGTTGTTGCTTTTATGCTAACTCTTGGGGTGGGGGTGCAAGATAAGAGGAAGGAAGTAAGGGGTGGTGCCATTGACTGGTAATGCTCTGCAGTATTTAGGGATGCCTGCTGTGGGCAGGGCTTGGGGCAGGGGAGGGGGAGATGGCCTCTCTGAGGCCAGCAGGACTTTGCTGCCTGTCACACCTGGGAGATGTAGCCTCTCTCAACTGTGCTTTTTTTTTTTTTTTTTTTTTTTTTTTTTAAGATGTGTTAAATAACAGGCTCAGAGACAGCCAGACATGGGTCCTGGGGCTCAGAACCTAGGGATTATGGGCTTGGACTCTGGAGCCAGGTGGCCTGAGTTCCCCTCTTGGCCCTACAGCTTCCAGCCAACCCACTGGCTGTCATGCCTGTGTCTCCTTCCGTTATCCCTGTGCAGCTATGCCAGGTGGGATTCCCTGAAGCCATTTTACAGATGAGGACAGCAAGGCTCAGGGGGTTGAGTACCTTGCCCCAGAGCGCATGAGTGGCTGAGCTGGGATTCAGATCCAGGCTCTTGGGTGTTCAAGTCCTTGTTTTTTCCTGACATTTTGTTGCGTTCTGGCCTCAGAGCCAGGTACAGGGCAGGTGTGTGATACCTGTTAGTGAAAGGCTCATTTTTGTATATTCCTGGTTGGTGGAGGGGGCTCCCAAGTGATCTTCTGGAGGTTAATGTCACAGCTGGCTTCAGGTGCCTGCAGTCGGCGGGGTCACACAGGTTCCCCACTTAGAAAGCCATGCCCCCCACACCTGGCTTAACGCTCTGCTTGAAATCCTTGAGTCATTTTTGAACAAGGGACCCCATATTTTCATTATGCACTTGTAGAGCTGGTCCTTTCTAAAAGACCGAGTGAAATGGAGGGTGCGGAGGGTCTGGAGTCAGGCTCCCCTCTTCAGGGGACCGGAGCAGCTTGGAATCAAGCAGATGTGTGCCGACTGGACACTTGTTTTCACCAGCGGCAGGTACCATGGCCCCAAAACCCAGTTCTAGTGGGCTTTTCACCGAGATGGTTGGCAAGGCCGGCGTGTCATCCCAGGGACTTAGGCATGGTTTTCCTCGGTGATGGATGATTCTTAGGGCCCCGAGTGGACACATAACAGGAAGAGTAAGCGTGCAGGCTCCAGCCAGAGTGTGTGGCACCGGAGACTCCGCGTTGGCATTGAGAAAATCTCCACGAAGGACATTTCTGCTTTCCTGACACAGGTGTCCTAAGGCCATGTTCATGGTCACCGTGCTGTCTCTGAGCAGCTCCCCAGGCTTTGCAAGCATTTCCGAGATCTTTTGGAGCTAGGTGCCAGGAAGATGCATTGCTTTCCTCACCCTCCTGTGTCCTGTCTCCTTGTAGGTAACAGGAACTGTTCCCCTGACAGCATTTCTAGTTTTGCTTTGGCCGCCTGGAAGCTCAAAACCAAATTTCTTGGCTCAGGCAATGCAGCGGTGCCAAACTTCCAAGCAGCAACGGTCAACGCTAGTATTCCTGGGATGCCCCCTTGGTCCTAGATGCCGTCACCCATCCTTTTGTATTTATCATCCCGCTGAGTCTGTGTAGCAGCCCTGTGGGGAAGATACCGTTGAGGAGAGGGAGGCAGGTGTCTGTGAGGCTAACCCACTTGCCCAAGCTTACGTAACTAGTAGATTGCAGAAGTGTGGAGCCTGATTAGTCCCGAACCCGGAGCCCATGCTCTTCAGCAGAGACTTCCACTGCCTCTGCCAGGGACTCTGATTGCCTGAAAATCTGGGTATTTTTGTTTTTCGTGGTTGTTATCATTATCATTATTATTACGAATTTGTGTGTGTGTGTGTGTGTGTGTGTGTGTGTGTGATCTGTATTTCCCACCATCCTGACTTTTTTCACTTGTACTTTGTCACGTCTTCTGGGGAGCTTTGCATAAACAAGCCTCCCCGTGATGAGGGTTCTGGTCCTGTGCCTGGCTGCCGGGGCTGCTCTCGGGAGGGGAACGGAAGCCCCAGATGCCTGGGCAGCTCATGGGCTCCCGGTGAGTGCCCGCGTGTCCGAGCAGAGGAGACCCCAGCCCAGGGACAAGGTCTCCCCCGGAGCAGGGTTTTATTTCTTGCTCTTCACTCCCGAGAGTGTCCCTCAGCCTGACTGGAGAGAGCAGAGTCCGGGGAGAGGCTCTTGGCGGCGCTCCGTGGCCCTGGGGTGACTTTGCCCTTGGAGAGGGCCAAGGAGCCGGCCTGCCCGGGCCTGAGGTCGCTTCTCGCACTGTTCTCCGAAGGCAAGTGAAGCCCATTCGGCTGCTCCAGGATGAACCGGGGTTCCAGGAAGGGGAAGTAGACGCCCGGCGATGGCCTGCGAAGCACGGACGGGCCCCGGCGCCGCCGCCAGCCCCGTGCCCACCGCCTCCCCTGGCTGGAGTGCCTTGCCTGGAGGGAGTCCTCCGGGCTGGGGCCAAGGTAAGGCCGTGACCGCCCCCCCCTCCCGCCAGGATGTGAGCTGGACTCACTAACACATGGGGGGGGGGCGGAGGGCCCAGAATGGGGGGATTTGGGGAGACACTTACAGGCCAGTGTGTCATTTGTACCCATTCTCTCTGTCCCCTTGCGCTTGGACCTCCTGCCCTATCTTCCTAGCTGCTCTCTTCTTCTTGCCCCTTCCACTTATATGGCATTTAGAGCTTTTAAAAATGCAGAACAGACTCTCTCACTTTCTGCCTCCGTGTTTCCCACGGGGCTTAGGGTGAAGATCTGTCAGGCAGCAGCCCGCGAGGCCTGCCTTCTGGCCCCCGCTGCCCGTGTCCTCTGCCCCCGGCACGCGGTGCTGCCTCAGGGCCTTTGCATCTGCTGTTTCTCCTGCCTGCTGGGCTCTTTCCTTTCCTCCTTTCCTCTGATTAATTTCTAGTCGTGCTTCAGAGCTCGGCTCAAATTCCCCTTCTGTGGGGAATCCTAAGTCAGGCCTCCCTGATGGGTTCCTGCTTCTCTCCACCGCACTTCCCTTAGCCTGCACCGAAGTAACGGCCTGTGCGATGAGTTGAGTGCCAGCTTCCCCACTAGAATGTAAGCTCCCCGAGGGCAGGGGCACGGTGCTGTCCTGCTGTCCCCGCACACCTCCACACGCCCGGTCCCCCGCAGACGCTCAGTAAGCGAACGGAGAGAATGGGTGGCTGGGGGTGGGCATCTTGAATTGCGGCTGCCTACCTAGACCATTTGAAACCCGACTACTGAAGAACAAAGGTTTCTTTTTCTACGACTGTTATTGGGGAGGCAGTTTACACACCCACACAGATGCACACACATGCACACACGTGCACACGCGCACACGTTCCCCAATAGAAGAAGACGGGATGAAATAATCTTCCTTTAGAACTTTGAAGACTCTGCCCCACTGGTTTTGGCAAGCCAGTTCTTGCTCCTTTGTAGGAAACTTCTCCTTGCTATACACACACACACGCGCGCGCACGCACACATGCATGCACACGCTCACACATGTGTGTGCCTGCCCACTTCTTTGGTAGCTTTCCAAGTTCTTTTTCTTATCTAGGTGTAAAAAAAAAAAAAAGTGTTTCTAAGTGGGGACTTGCTGTTCCCAGTTTAAGGAACAGATGAGAGAGATGATTGCCAAGAATCCAGGAACTTGGTTTGAAAGGCAAACAAAGACACCTTGGAAAATCTTTGCGTGGCCGGGGCCACAGTCTCCCGGGTGTGCAGAGAGCCAGGCTGGGGGAGCAGCTGGTGTCCCGCAGGCCCGGCCCCCTGGTCCCCGTGGGTTTTCTCCTCTGTGCCACCAAATGCAGGGCTAGCCTGTGGCCCCGGCTGGCGTGCCCGCCTGCGTTTTGGGCACTGCCTTGGCCCTGCTTCTTCTCTTTCTTACTTTCATTTCCCCTGGTAACTTTGGGCAGGTCTGTCCGCGGTGCAGAGGCCCTGTTCCCTTTTCCACGATGGTGGTGTCCCTGTCTGAGGGGCTCTCAGAGGATCAAAGGAGATTAGGACCGAGAAGCCCCAGCCCTGTGCCTGGTGCCCAGCAAGGGCTCCATGCCTGGGAGCTCTTCTTGTTTTTATCCGATTCTATCTTATTTCTGCCTTTGCTTTCTTTTTGTCCAATTTCTCTCATTTGCTTGTTTTCAAATATAATTTTGTAATTTTATCTTTGCCTGTTTTCTTTTTATGAAGTCACCTTAAATCCTTTCTGGCGCAGGTGTGGGAGGGTAAGAACACAAGTAAATGGTGCGCGTGGGTTGCTCTGTTGGCAACTTTTGAGTCCTGACAAGCTTGCTTTTACGCTGGCAACCGTCGTGGCCTGTTACGTTGTCCCAGGCATTTATGTTCATCCTCTTAGCTCTCAGTAAAATCCTCTGCAGTGGATACGATTCCCCCTCCGAGGGAGGAAGCAGGCCAGGGATTTGGGTCACTTCTGCAGGGCTACTCTGCGAGCGAGAGGCTGGGCTGTGCTTTGAGTCCAAACCCAATCTAGCTTGTGCTTTCCCTGCCCCGCCACCTTGCCTCCACACCCCTCGCCTCTTGCAAAGACTTAAAAAAAAAAAAAAAAAAAAAAAAAAGGAGGAAAGCAAATAAAATTCTTTTTAGCAGGGGGATCAAATACTGTGTCACCCTTGAGCTCATAGGTGATACCCCAGGGCACAAAAAAAGAACCCTGTTGGGATTGGGGACCAGAGTTCTATCCTGTCGGTTCATCTATATATCAAACCTTTATTTAGTGTTCCCTGAGCAGGGTTTAGTGCCCGGTACTGAGCCCTGCTCAGGGGATTCAGTGGTGAGTGGAACCACTGGGGGAGCACGTAGTCTAATGGGCGAGGTAGACTCTGATCAACTAGTTAAATACACGCGTAAGCAAAATAATTGCAAATATACGTACTTATCTTGGATGAGAAGAGCAGTTCTGAGTAGGCTTATTGGGGGTTTGGTCTGTTAAGGGTATAGTGTCAGGGAAGACTCCCTGAGAAGGTGGTTAATGAGTCGGGCTACTCATGGTGAGTCGGATTTAAGTGTGTGAACCCCGGGGGACGTGCTCTAGGGAATGGGAGCAGCATGTGCAAAGGCCCTGGGGTGGGAGAGAATGCTGTGTGTTCTAAGAACAAAGGCGGCTGGTGTGGTGGGACACAGAGCTGAGTGGCCTGAGGCGAGTTTAGCAGGAGGCTGGTGCTTCTGAGGGCTGGGAGAGTGCAGTGAGGGGGTTGGTTTTGGTCAGGAGAGCACCGAAAAGCTATTGAAAGTTTTACCCTAGAGGATCTTGGGTCTCATCCGGTAGGCGTGCTGGCTATTGTGTGGAGGGTGCATTGTAGGCAGGAGCAGTAGGTGTGGAGAAACCAGTGAGGAGGCTGCCCCAAGGACGCGAGGGCGAGGGGAGGTCGCCTGGCCTGGGCTTGGGGTGCGCGCGCCAAGAGGTGGGTGGGATCCAGAGATGTCTTGTTGGCCCAGTTGGCAGGGCCCAGCGAGGGGCTGCGTGAGGGGCAGGATGGATGGGCCGGGAATTCCCAAGGAGGTAGGACTGAGTCATTTTGGGTTAAGGACTCAGGCACTGCCCAGAGCCGGCCCCCGAGGTGACCGCTTCTGGCCAGCACATAACGTGTTTACGGTTTGCTGCCTTCCCTGCTGCTCCATCTTCTGGGCCTGCCCACAGAAGGGGCGCCAGCATATCCAGTCCCCAGCCTTGCGTGGCCCGAGCACCCGCTGCTCCCCTCCCCGGCCTGCCCCCAGGCCCCTGGCTGTTGCCCTGACCGTGGGGGTGGTGCGGAGGGTTTGGGTGCTGTTGTAACCCGGCTGGGTGGATGTGGTGTGTTTTTTGAGGTTAGACTTAATTCACTTGGTGCTTTTGAAATGTTGAGTGAGTTGCAGATACCCCGGGGAGGGGGTGACCAGTAAGGCAGTGTATTAATTTCCTGTGGTCGCAGTGGTAAGTTGTCACCCACACCGCGGCTGGAGAAACACAAATCCATCCTCTTACACAGCTCAGGAGGTGGGGGGGTCTGATGCTGGCTTCACTGAGCTGCAGCCCTGGCGTAAGCACCTCAGGGGGGAAAATCCGTTTCCTTTTCCGGCTTCTAGAGGCCACACAGGCTCCTCGGGCCATGAAGCTCCCTCCACCTCCAAAGGCAGCGGCGCTCCGTCTCTGTGCTCCCCACCCCCATCACATCACTCCCGATGCTTCGGCCGCCTTCTTCTTCCATTTTTAGGGACCCTGGTGATTACATCGGTCCCACCCAGACAGTCCAGGAGGCTCTCCCGATTTCAGGCCAGCTGATTAGCAACTTTAACTCCGTCTGTAACCTTAAGTCTCCTTTGCAGCGTAAGGTAACAGATTCACAGGCTCTGGGGAGCACGGCAGGGACATCTTTGGGGGCTCATTGTTCTGCCCACCGCAGTCACGCTGAGCCCACTGGGAGTGTAGTATTGGGGTGAGCTTCCTTTGCGGTGATCCTACAAATGTCACCTTCCCCATGTCGTTAGTTGTTCAGGCTCCGTTTAAGTATCTTTTGTGATGGGGACCGCTCTACCTGCAGTTCGTTGTGTGGACAACTCTCATTCTTGGAATCTTCTTCCTTATATGGTCTTGCACAGTGTCCAGGTAGCCTCCACGCTCTGGTCCCCATTCTGCCTCCTTGGGGGTTTCTTGTGAAGTTCAGTCCTTCTCACGTAGGGACTCAGGGACTGCCACTATGCCCCCTCCTTGCCGTGAGAAGGACCTCAGAGCCCGGAGGAGGTGATGTCATCAGGCTCTGGGCTCGTCCACAGTAGTTCTCACCCAGCCAGGTGAAGCTTCTGGTCTGCTTTCAGAGCTCCGCAATGGCCAGGTCCTCACGGTTCTCCGGATCGACAATACCTGTGCCCCCATCTCCTTTGATCTGGGCGCCGCAGAAGAGCAACTGCAGACCTGGGGCATTCAGGTGAGTGCTGATTTTATTGAGACCCTGCCATCTTTCCTTCCATCCGCCCACCTGTCCGCCCATCCATCTATCCATTCTTCCGGTTTTTCACAAAATATTCGTTCAACACTGACTCTGTGCTCCGTGTGGTAGGGCACGCACGGAAGATGTATTAGAAGTGTCCTCTCCTCCCAGTTACTTCACTTAACAGATACGTGTTTTGGGGTGCCCGTCATTTGCCAGGCACCGAGCCGGGTGCCGGGTACTGTAGAGGTGACCAGGACCCAGCGCCTGTGTTCCCACAGCTCTTAGAGCCCAGGGCGGGAGATGGGCTCACTCTGGGTTAACTTAGGACAGCAGGCTCTAAACGTCGAGGTAGAAGGACGTACAGGGCACTGAAGGCCTTCACAGGAGAAAGCGATGAACTCCCCTTGGGGAGCAGTGGTTTGGAAAGCATCACGGAGGGGCAGATACTTGACCTGGGGTCTTGAAGGAAAAATAGGAGTTTGCTGGGTAGACAGGAGGAAGGGCATCTGAGGAGACGGAACTGCATGTTCAAAGGGAAGGTGCATGAATTCATTCTCTGATAACGCAGTGCCCTCGAGCATGCTGAGTTGAGGCAGAGGCTTCTCAGACCCAGGGGTCTGGGTGCAGATCCAGCTCTGCGGCTCACCGCCTGTGTGACGTTGAGCAGACGACTTCACCTCTCTGAGTGACAGTCCCATCCTCTATACAATGAGGGCAATATTGAGACCTACTACCCAGGGTTTTCTTGTGAAGAGGACGTGAAATAATGCTTGAGGAATCGTTGTACTGTCTCTGGCGCACGTAGTACACGTTCTGTAAGTTGTGAGGTATTGGTGTCGTGACGAGGTACCCACAGCTGTGGTGTTCTCGCTTCCCTAAGCCCTCAGCATCACCAGGCCTTTCCCCTGCACTGTCTAGGGAGGACTCATTTATTTATTTTTTTAAAAGATTATTTATTAGAGAGAGAGAGAGAGCATGAGCAGGAGGGGCGGAGGGAGAGAGAGAGAGAGAGAGAGAGAGAGAGAGAGAGAGAGAGAGAATCTCAAGCAGACTCTGTGCTGAGCTTGGAGCCCCGAGATCATGACCTGAGCTGAAACCAGGAGTCAGGACGCTTAACCGACTGAGCCACCCAGGCTCCCCGTGGGGAGGACTGATTGTAGAGGGGAAAGACACACCACTAATTTTACCCTGAAGATTTTATTTATTTATTTATTTATTTTTTTAAAGATTTTATTTATTTATCCATAGACACAGAGAGAGGCAGAGACACAGGCAGAGGGAGAAGCAGGCTCCAACGCAGGGAGCCCGATGTGGGACTCGATCCCAGGTCTCCAGGATCACACCCCGGGCTGCAGGCGGCGCCAAACCGCTGCGCCACCGGGGCTGCCCTACCCTGAAGATTTTAGAGTTTACTTCCCTCAAATTGAATTGAATGACTGCCTAAATGAACATTTTATCACTTAAAGGGAAACTTTCCAAATTGACACTTCTAACCCCACGCCAGCGCAGCGGCTGGCTTCTTGTCCCACGTTACCTGTCAGCCTTTGCGCAAAGGAACACTTTGCTTTTTTCTCTTTTATTTTCTTTTCTTTAAATATTTTATTTATTCGAGAGAGAGAGTGCAGAGTGAGACAGAGAGAGAGAGAGAGAGAGAGAGAGAGAGAGAGAGAGAGCGCGCACATGGCGGTGGGAGGGGCAGAGGGAGAGGGAGAAGCAGACTCCCCCCGGAGCAGGGAGCCTGACCCAGAGCTCGATCCCAGGACCCTGAGACCATAACCGGAGCCATAGTCAGACACTTAACTGATGGAGCCACCCCGGTGCCCAGAACATTCTTAAATCGTCTTCAGGTGGGGTTTTCTTAACCGGGAACAGTTCACATATTCTTCTATCATGTTCCTAAATATTGTCTTTAATGGTCAAATTCTGTTTTCTTAAGCAGTCTGCTCTTGCAGAGCCTTTATCTGCTAAGCCATTTTCTTCTGGGGGGGTTGGGGAGAGGAGCGGGAAGATGGGAGCTTTCAGTACCTTGGGCTGCATTTACAGTTCTTGATAACGCAGTATTGGCAACAGCTCCCGTGTATCAGGTGTTCACTACGGAGCGTGCACCGGGCCTGCGTGCACATACGCTGAGATGCACACGTCTGCCAGAGTATCACGTAGCCGCTGGAGTAGAGGAACAGGGGTCCCCCCAAGGTGCCCGTGTGTGTGTACATGTTATACATACACTTACTTTATAGTATATACGTTAGGACCGCACATGTGGCACGTTATTTAACGTGCAAGTCGCCCCTACATGGTAGGTATTCTTACCCTCGTTTGACAGAGTGGGTACCTGAGGCTCAGAGAAGTGGGGGTCCTTGCCCCAGGTCACATGGGACATGAACAGAAGGGCCAGGGTTGGGACCCAGGCTACTGACCCCAAGGCCTGTACCTTAACTGTTAGGCTGTCATGCGCCCGCCATGAGGTCCTGAGCCTTGGGCGCCCAGCCTTCCGGGTGCCTAGGGCTGTGTCCGGTGATCGCCTCTTGGAGTACTCCGAGCTCCTCATCCTGCCTTCCAGGGCAGTCTGGATCCACATGATCGTCACAAGAACTGGAAATGACATGATTACGTGCAGGAAGGAGGTGGGAGTGGTTCTCTGTGGCTGATTGGTGTCTCTCCCTCGCATGGCCCAAGCAGGTCCCTGCCGACCAGTACAGGAGCTTGGCCGAAAGCGCCCTGTTGGAGCCCCAAGTGAGAAGATACATCATCTACAACTCCAGGCCTATGCGGCTGGCCTTTGCCGTGGTAAGGAGGCAGGGGGCTGCACGCCCGCCCTGCTGCGGCCCCGCGTGCCGCTGCCCATCTGGCCTTGTGTTCTGGGGCCCGCTGGTGTGGCCGAGGGGCTTGTGGCCTGTGGTCTAGCCGCCTGGGGTGGAGCAGGCCATGTGGACCTGGACTTGGTGTAGGGCGGCTGCGGGGAGAGAGTCGCCACCAGATCCCTGTGTCCAGGGTGAGGGGGGAGCTTACTAAGGATAGAGCTTGGGACTCGGAATCTGCGGACCCACCATTGAGACTTTGGACTCAGTGTCTGGCTTGGGGGAAGACTTGTCTTCTCTCTGGAACTTGGGTCCCCGATCTGTTCCACGGATAGGTCCATTTCCTCTCTGATCACATATACACGGAGTGTGTAAACATACGTGTGTGTATGTGAACCCATGAAGGCACACACATGTGAGCATCCACATCCACCTCTACGTGTGTACGTGTGCGCGCACACCCACACGTACGCACCTAGGTACATGCAGCAGAGCCAATATCTGAGCCCAGGCAGTCTGGTTTCAGCGTCTGTGCTCTCAGCTACTCCCATCTGCTCCGTGTCTGCACGTATGCATGGCCCCACAGTACTCTTGACTCCCACTCTGCTGCCGGGGATGGAAAACGGGTGGCCACCAGCATTGTTAATCCTGTAACACGTGCTAGGCTGTTACACCTGTTGTCTGATTAACCCTTATAACAACCTGCGAAGCAGGTAAGTGTCCCCATTTTATGGAAGAGGAGATGGAGGCTCAGAACATTGCTAATAACTTGTCCAACGCCACACATGGCTGTTGAAGGATCAGTGTGGGTTTCTTTCTTTCTTTCTTTTTTTTTTTTTAAGATTTTATTTATTTTTTTCATGAGAGACACACAGAGAGAGGCAGAGACACAGACAGAGGGAGAAGCAGGCTCCATGCAGGGAGCCCGATGTGGGACTCGATCCCAGGACCCCAGGTTCATGCCCTGGGCCGAAGGCAGATGCTCAACTGCTGAGCCACGCAGGTGCCCCTCAGTGTGGGTTTCTGAATCAAATTTATCTCATTCCCAGGCCCCCTGCCCTTTTCTGTTTTATTTAAAATCAGGGTAAGCAAGGATTCGGAGTAGCTATCCTGACCTGTTTCCTCTACTGTTGCTTATGGACGAGGAGCATGGGCTCCTCCTCACAGACCCCGGTCTGTCCCTTCCTGGCCCTGTGAGCTGCGTTTCTGAGGAGGGCACCGGGTGCACCCAAAGGGTGTCTCCCTTTGAATGGAGCTGCTTCGTTCGAGCTCTGGAATTCCTGATCGTGCTTGTCTCTGGCCTCTTGCAGGTTTTCTATGTGGTGGTGTGGGCCAACATCTACTCCACCAGCCAGATGTTTGCCCTGGGGAACCACTGGGTGGGTGTGCTGCTCGTGACCCTGGCCGCCATGAGCCTGACCCTGACCCTCGTGCTCATCTTCGAGAGACACCAGAGGAAGGTGAGATGATCCGGAGACCCCGGCCGTGCTCCCTCCGGGAAGGACATGCCGGCTGGAGAATCCCAGGTCCCATCTTTCTCTTTTCCCTGCCTCCGAGAATTACTCCAACCCTGAAAATTCATGCAGGCCCGTGTGCCCAGGGACTAAAAGAAATGAAATCACGTGTGTGGTTAATTCCTCTCTGTTTTTCTTGCCTAATCCTTGTGGGTTGTTTTTCTGGAAGCGAGCTGTGCTTGGAGAGAGTCTGGGACGGGGCGGGGGAGGAGGGCACTTGGGGTTTACTGAGCCCTTTCACACTAAGAAATTGGCTGAGCTGGAATTCAAGACCAGGGCGCTTGGATCCCCAGCCGTGTTCTCAGCCAACAGCCTAGGGCACCGGTGGTCTGCGTGTGGAAGACCGTACACGTAGTGGCTCAACCCAACGCAGCGGGGCGGTGGCTTAGCTTAGAGCTCCATACTTCAGGGCTGCGTCCTCTCTGGAACCTCTAGGGGAGAATGTATGTCCTGCCTCTTCCAGTTCCTGGGAGCCACCTGCACTCCTGGGCTAATGCCACATTGTCCATCTTCAGAGCCAGACATGGCGGGTCTAGTTCTTCCCACATCTTTGAGTCTTCTGGCTCCTTCTTGGCTTTTAAGGCCTCTTGTGATGACATTGAGCTGCTGGGGTTATCTGGGACCATCTCCCTTTCTTTTAAGGGTCAGCTAATTAGCAGCGTCCATTCTACCTCCAACCTTGATTCTCCTTTGCCGTGGAACGTGGTGTAGTCACTGGTCCCGGGGAGCAGGACTTAGGCGCCTCGAGGCCGTACCTCTGCCTTCCACACCGCCGCTGCCTCCCCAGCCGCTGCCGAGGCTCCCGCAGCCCCCGGCACAGAGTTGGACTTGGAGGTCTGTTCTTGCCCGACTCCGGAGGACAGGGATGCTGGGAAATGTGGTCAGGCTTTGGGGTATGAATTCTATTTAGTTCCTGTGCTCACAGGGACAAATAGGAACTTTATGGCTTAATCATCCTGAAAAGATCTTTGTTGGGCTTTGCGACGAGGCTGACGAAATAATGCTGCCCTTGGGCTCTGTTGAAGCTTCCGTGGCTCTTGTGCTTGGCATATAAAAAAATAATAATAATAAACTGGCTGCTCCTGCAGCCTTGAAGCCACTTCTCTTGGGGAGGGGAAAAAGCAGAGTGTCCGGCCTTAGCAAGAGCAAGGGACGTCCCTGGGCCCTGTCAGGTGCTTCAAGGACGCGGATGTCGTTAATGCAGTTGAGAGAATGTCCGTGGGGGCCGTCTGCCCTCTTCTCCCGCTGCCTGTTCGGCTGGTGTTCGTGGCACACAGGTGAATAAGACCCTGTGTCTTTCTTTACTCATAGGTGCTGCCGGGGGCCCCAGGTGTGCAGTGGTCCTGCTGTCGTCAGTGTTTGCTCTTTCAGGGACCCTGAGGTTCCTTCAGTCCTAGGCATTTATTTTTTTTTTAAGATTTTATTTATTTATTCATGAGAGACACACACACACAGAGAGAGAGGGGGGCAGAGGGAGAAGCAGGCTCCATGCAGGGAGCCCGACATGGGACTCGATCCCAGTACCCCAGGATCACGCCCTGGGCCGAAGGCGTCGCTAAACCACTGAGCCGCCCGGGCTGCCCGGTCCTAAGCATTTCACGAGCACCTACTGTGTGCTCTGTGTTCGGCACCTGCTGTCCGTGGCCGCCAACCAGACAAGGAGGAAGAACTCTGGCTCTGCCGCCGGGGGTGGGTTACTAGTTAACCCCTCGGGGCGCCTGGCTGGCTCATGACTTGTGATCTCATGGTTGTGAGTTCAGGCCCCACTGGGCCTAGAACTTATATCAAAAAAAAAAAAAAAAGGTGTAGCTCCTTCATAAGATTATTGGGGGAATTGCATGACGTGATCCGTGCAGAGTACTTAGAACAGTACCTGGTGTAACGGAGACGCTCAGTAGCGTTACCTGTTGGGATTATTGGCGCTGTTTGCCGGTGGGGCAGCCAAAGCTCAGGACGTTGCGCAGCCAGTCTGTGGCCACACAGGCGCCTCATCCCTCGGGACCTCGCAGCCCCCCTTCCTGACCACATTGTCCCTCTTCCTGTCCTGCCATCTCACAGCATCCTTGGGAGCCTGAGCACTTTGCGGGCACTGCCTTGTTTTCGCCTTTCTCAGGGTTGGAAGTTTTGAGAAGGCACGTGAGACCCGGCCTCTTGTCGCGGACAGAGGAAAAGCACGCTGCTGAAGCCTGCGGGAAGTCCCTAACACTGTCTGTGGCCAACGAGGCGCAGGGGAAAGCGGTGTTGTCAACTCCGTATCATCTCTGAGCTGATGCCATGAGCTGACGGGCACTGCAGGTTCTTTCTTCTAGGTGCTCTACGGGCGTCGACTCATTTCGTCCTTACGGGGGGTTTTGCTCCCCTTCTGGAGGCGAGGGGATGGAGACGGAGAGGTGGGGGGTAATTTGCCCAAGGCTCCCAGGTGGTGGGAGGCAGAGCCAGGGTTTGAACTCCTGGTGGCGCAGGTTTCAGAAAGGGTGCACAGCCCTTCCCGAGGCTCCGGGCAAAACAAAATGGAATCACCCCCTGTTCTCTTGGTCGTGGCATCCCTGGAAAATTCAGTATATTTTACACCCATTAAAAACAAAACAAAACAAACCATTTCAGGTTTCCATGTCAAACGGAGCCAGGGTTGGCTGCTCAGAACCGTAGGTAGACTTTCCACCTGCGTTCACACCCAGTGGGGAGCGTGGAGCCTGGAGAGGTGGGGAGACTGCCCTTCCGAGGGTGGGACTGTCTCTCATGGGACGCAGCCTTCGGAAGAAGGCATCCCGGGGCCTCGTCCTAAGTGCCACCAGTGCCCGTCCCATCCCTGTGACAACCATGGGGTCTTCTCACAGTCCTAAAGCCTCCCTGCAGGAGTCCTGCCCTCCCGGGGACCGTGATGGTCCTTGAAGGGGTTGTCATCTAGTTGCATCTCTAAATCCTGATGGGGTCTCTTCCCCAAACCAGCCCTTTGGGTCCTGACACCTTTCCTCCCGCCCTTCCTCTCTCCTCCCCACCCCAGCCTGCATAGTTAGCATCTACTTTGCCAACCGGATCCATGGTGTCTGATTGGTTTGGGTAGGAAAAGAGGCAGATGGATTCCCAGAGTCCCCCTCCGCGGGCCTGGCGCTGCGCTCGGTGCTTTGGGAAGTAGGTGCCGTATTTACACACTATGTGCTCGAACCCGTCCACCCCCCGCCCCTCCTGCAGATGTCTCTGTCAGCACACCGGGCTGCGTCCCAGGCGCTGGGTGAAGTGCTTCACACACACAGTCAAGTTCAAGCCCACCACGCTCCCGGGTGGCAGGGATGCTCTTGATCTTTATGCTGCAGCTGAAGAAAGCAGGACTCGGGAAAGGAGCGTAACTTGTCCAGGGCCACGCAGCTGGGAGGTAGCAGGGCTGGGCCTCAACCCAGGGCTTTCTGACACTATTGAATTTATTGTCTCCAAACCCTGCAGTCCCATTTTTCTAGGGGAGGCAATGGACATGTCTCGAAGGCCAGGATCGCCCCGTGGCGTCCAGCGGTGGGACAGTGCGTGGATGTTGTCAGGGCCCCCGAGTTCCCTGGCAGCCTGGGCGTCTGCCACGGGGCCGGCATTTGTCTTGCAGGCCAACACCAACACGGACCTTAGGCTGGCAGCTGCCAACGGAGCCCTCCTGAGACACCGGGTGCTGCTGGGGGTGACGGACACGGTGGAAGGCTGCCAGAGCGTGATTCAGGTACTGTGTCTGGGCGCGCCCTCCGCTCGGGGGCCCGTGTGAGGACTGGGTTGATGGGGACAGGCGGCCCCAGGATCCCCCGGTCTGCATGGTGTCTTGGGGTCTGCTAACGAGGCAGGCGAGGGCAGCCCTTCCCTTTCTCTGCCCCAGTGCTGCTTCCTTGGGGTGCCGACCTGCAGCCTAGGACCTGCCCAGGGCGGGGCTGGAAGGAAGCGTGGAGACCGGCTAAGCCACGCTCCTTAGTCAGCATTTGTTCAGCAAACAGAAGGGGCCTCCTCTGTGCCGGAGCCTTCGACGGGCAGTGAGGAGCCCTGGCCAGGTTCCTGAGGAGGCAGTCAGACCTGAGGCCTCGTCCACCTGGCTCCGTTGTTTTCTTTGTTCCAAGAGCACTGGGGAGATCTTCAGTGACAAGTGTGAGGTCACACAGTGGATCTGGGACACAGCTGGGGCCCAGGTCTCCTATCCTGGCCTGGTGGGACTGCTGGATCTCAGAGCCACATCTGCATTCTCACCGGGCCCCTCGCCTGGTTGGAGCCCAGGGGTGGGCGTGTGGGCGGGACCTGGGAAGAAGCTCCTTGTGCACAAGTTCATCCTACAGATATTTATGGAGAGCCTCGTATGTGCCAGGCCCGCCCTATTCTAGGTCCTGGGGCCGCCCCAGGGCACAGACCTACATGGATCCCTGGGTTACGGGCTCCAGCACACCCGAGATGGTGTAGGGCACAAGGGGATCTTGCCTGAGACCGTGTGTGTGTGTGTGTGTGTGTGTTGAACTCCGTGACATCACAAGATTTCTGGCAGTTCAAGTGTGACATCATCCTTTTAGCCTCATTTGTTCTCAAATCCTTTTTATGGATTGGCATGTAGGGGTGACTCCGCAAGTGTTCGCTCAATGCACGGGTGACTAACGAATAGACACATCCTTTGAAATAACGGGGAGTATCTTTTAAAATAAATAACTAAAAAAGCAACTTCAGTTTCCAAATAGTATCCTAGGGTGAGCAGATGCAGTATCTTGGATTTTCGTTAACATCTGGGGTGGGGAAGGGGAAGGGTGCAGGTGTCTGGGGTGAGTGATGGTGAAATAAGAGGAGCCACGAACTGAGAACCGTCACCCCAAGATGAGGGGCAGCTCGAAGTCAGTGACCTCATTTGCTCCACTTAGTAGATGTTTAGAAAATTTCATAATAAAAAGCCAAAAAAGAAATTTGTTATAAAAAGCTTCCCTTGGGGCTGAGATGCCGAGAGAGATTGGTCGGCACTAGGGATGCGACCTTGGGCCTCCTGGGTCAGTCGCCGGGAGGACGGAGATCTGGGCCCAGAGGATGCGGTCGGTGGCTGGGGGCGCGAGGCGACGGCCACCAGTGTCGTACGTACAGAACTTCAGTTGTGATGTGTGTGGCCTGTGTGGACCTGGCCGGAGGTAACGAGTGAACGTGGAGCGCTTCGGCCTGGCCGTGTTGGCCCTGACCTTCTGGGGACCGTCAAGATTGAGGAGGAAGGGGGGGTAACGGCGAGGTGACTTTTTACCCCGTCCCCCCACCCCTGCCCACAGCACCCAAGTTGGATTTGCGCCTGCCTGGCCTCGAGCGGTGGCAGTGAGCAACTGAAGGGGTTTCACCCATCTGCATGTAGGGGTCCCAGGCAGCAGGGCACCCCAGCCCCCGAGGATGAAGGTGGCAGCCCCAGATGGGTACGTGGTGTCCAGGATGGTGTGGCATCTCCCTGGGATGCTCAGTGCCTTGTAGGAAGCGAACCCCCTTCTGAACGGGGTTTGACGTTTTCCAGGTGTGCGCACAAAGCCACTTTGTACCGCAGGAGGCGTTGCTGCGTACGAGGACTCTGGGAGGGGGCTGAATGGCATCGTCCCACCGGAGATCAGCGAAAATGAGCTCGTCCTCAGAAGGGCGGACCTCCGGGGACGAGGCCGGAGGTGGAAGATGGTGTCGGGGACGGAGGGTTCGAGGTCGGGCTGGCTTTGGGCCTCAGCCGGCGTGGCTTCTCTCCCCAGCTCTGGTTTGTCTACTTCGACCTGGAGGACTGCGTGCAGTTTTTGTCTGACCACATTCAAGAGATGAAGACTAGCCAAGAGGTAAGATACCGTCAGCGAAAGAGCAAGCAAACAAAAATAAACCAGGGCCCAAATTGTACAGGCTGCATTTTCTTTTTTAAAGATTTTATTTATTCATCAGAGACACCGAGAGAGGCAGAGACACAGGCAGGGGGAGGAGCAGGCTCCCCACAGGGAGCCCAATGTGGGACTTGATCCTGGGTCTCCAGGATCACACCCTCGGCTGAAGGCAGGCACTAAACCTCTGAGCCACCTGGGCTGCCCAACAATTAACTTTTAATTGTTAAAGATAGGTCATTAGTTACATGAAAAAATAAGCAATATCATAGGTTTTTTTTTTTTTTTGAGATTTTATTTATTTATTCGTGAGAGACACAGAGGCAGAGACACAGGCAGAGGGAGAAGCAGGCTCCATGCAGGGAGCCTGATGGGAGACTCGATCAGCAGACCCCTGGGTCATGCCCTGGGCCGAAGGCTGACGCTCAACCGCTGAGCCCCCCCCAGGCGCCCCAGATTGCATTTTCTCAATGTTGGAAAAATAGCTAAGGAAAAGTTACTTGGAAGGAAGAAGATCTATGTGGAATCAGCGGTGGGTTTTGCCTAGGAAATTATTACTTCTTCACTAGATTTCAGTTAGGCTCCTTTTCAACTAACTGCATTTTCCACATTTCTGAGAGTGCTCACGTATTTATGGATAACACGACCGTTATATTGACGATTAATAGTAATAATACTAGTAAAGATTCTGGCAGAGGAACGTACCAGGTATTTAGACGACTTTCTCTCGTCCAGAAGGCCTTCCTGCCATTTATGATCAGCGTGCTCTTACTCCATCCCCCACACAGGGAAACTGAGCCTCTGAGGAGTCCCGGTGCCGCCCGAATTGTGGCCACGGGGCCCGCAGGTGATGCTGGGTTTGCAGCGCAGCCTCCTGTCTCGGAGCCCTGGGCTCCTTCCCTGGGATCAGCCTTCCCCTGGGCCCCGCAAGTGCTGTAGAGCGGGTCTTGAAGTCAAGATTGCAGTTTGTCCCCGTCCCAGCCCATTCATTCCCGTGTGGCTTTGGGCAAGGCCTCTGAGCTGTACGTGGCTCATCTGCACCATGTAGATAGATAAAAGATACCCGTGACCTGGGCTGCCCCGAAGGGCAAATGAGAGCATGGAAGGAAAGTTGCTTTAGAAGCTATCAGAGGCTGTGGGGGACCTTGTAGGCAATGACCTGACCCCTCGAATGTGGCTCGCTTCCCGACTCTCCTGAGGCCGGCGTCCCAGTCCAGGAAGTGACCCGGCCTCCGACATGCCCCCCAACCTGAAAGGACACCATCCACATCCCCTCTCTCTTTCTTTTGCAGTCCTTGCTGAGAAGCAGATTGAGCCAGCTGTGTGTTGTCATGGAAACCGGGGTGAGCCCCGAGACAGCCGAGGGGCCCGAGGACCTGTTGGAGGATGCTCCCCTCCTTCCCGGCGGCCCTCAGCCCGAGGAGAGGCCATTCATGCAGACTGAGCTTCGCCAGCTTATCCCCGAGGCTGAGCCGGGGGTAAGGGGCAGCTGGGCTGGTCGGGGGCCCCCTACCCTCCCCGGGGTGTTTGTGGAGTCCGGACGGGACCTCAGGTTGTAAATCCCAGGGAACGTGACTTCACTGATTGGTAGAGGCCATACACAGCTTCTAGCCTGCTGGTTTTCATTATATATTTATTTTTTCCCTTGTAGCACTTTAAAAAGCAGTTTATAGGAATCGTTTTCTACTTCCTGGGTTTTTTCCCTCCCCATTTAAGAAAATATCTTGGATATTCTTCTTGGTCCTTCCATGGGATATCTAGTTGCATGTTGATGGGTCATAGCCTGCCTAACTGTGAATGTGTTGGTGAACATTTGCGTCATTCTAAAAATCTCTTTCTCAGTCTGTCCTCTGTCCATCCATCTACTTAAATTGCAGTCAGATAGATAAGTCTCGTGTGCATTTCTGTTGGATTCCAGTGTCCCCAGCCAGCCCCAGAGCCCCGTCACAGAGAGCCCCTGCTCTCTGTTGGGTAGGACCGAGTGCCGGTGGACCAGATACCCGATAGCATGGTGTTTTATTTTTTCAGTCTGTGTCCTCCATGAGGACAGACTGACTGGGAGACACAGGCCAAGGCGTGACCTCAGGCGTTCTGTGATGCAGGGGAGCACCTGCATTTTCTTTTCAGCCAACAGATTTGAGGATTAAAGGCCCAAACCAGCCCAAACTTTCCCTTTTGCCTTGGTGGGGAGGAAGGGAGTCCGGCAGGCAAATGGGACTCATCAAAAGAGAGAATGATAAATATAGTAATCTCTTCACTTGAATCCCACTGAGCGTTTTAATTTTTATTTATTTTAAAGATTTTATTTGTTTATTTGAGAGGCAGAGAAAGAGTGAGAGAGAGAGAGCACGAGGAGCTGGGAGGAGCCGAGGGAGAGGGAGAAGCAGACTCCCCGCTGAGCAGGAGGCCCAGCACAGGGCTCGATCCCAGGACCCCAGGGTCATGACCCGAGCCAAAGGCAGATGCTTAACTGACTGAGCCACCTGGGCGCCCCCGCTAACTTTTTTTTTTTTTTTTTAAAGAGCAGAAAAGATTGATAAGATCGTGTACTTTATCGTGGCACGCCCGGGTTTATGTGACATAGCCTGTTAAATCTGATGGGTTTTTTAAATCATTTTTTTCAAATTCATTCAAACCGATGGCGATATAATATCCTGTCATGAATATCAAGTGTGCGTGCGCATGTTTTTAAAGCTGCTGCCCTTTATAACTTCGCTGGGGAAAATGCAATCTGTGCCGGAGTCTCAGCATGGGCCACACACCGTCATATTTCAAGGGGAAACGAGCACCTGTGAAAGACAGAGAAATAGTTATAATCCCCTCTTACCTTGTAACCGATTTCTTATGCATAAAGTCCGTCGGCATACCCTCCTGGGTAGGGACGGTTTTTCCTTCTTCATTGGGTTGGGTGAAATAAGAAGTCAGCTGACCTGCCCAAGGTCACAGAGCAAAGGGAGAATGTGGCAAAGCCACGGGCAAAAGGCAGCCCTGCGGGTTCTAAGTACACTTTTCTCGCCTTGGTTCTTTGCTTCTTACGCTCTTGATTTGATTTGATTTTATTTTATTTTATTTTATTTTATTATTTATTTATTTATCATTTTATACTTTTTTATTTTTTAAAGATTTTTCTTTTTTTTAATAAATTAATTTTTTATTGGTGTTCAATTTACCAACATACAGAATAACACCCAGTGCTCATCCCGTCAAGTGTCCCCCTCAGTGCCCGTCACCCATTCACCCCCACCCCCTGCCCTCCTCCCCTTCCACCACCCCTAGTTCGTTTCCCAGAGTAGGGAGTCTTCATGTTCTGTCTCCCTTTCTGATATTTCCTACCCATTTCTTCTCCCTTCCCTTATATTCCCTTTCACTATTATTTATATTCCCCAAATGAATGAGAACATACACTGTTTGTCCTTCTCCGATTGACTTACTTCACTCAGCATAATACCCTCCAGATTTTCTTTATTCATGAGAGAGACACAGAGAGAGAGGCAGAGACACAGGCAGAGGGAGAAGCAGGCTCCATGCAGGGAGCCTGATGTGAGACTTGATCCCGGGTTTCCAGGGTCATGCCCTGGGCTGAAGGCAGGCGCCAAACCGCTGAGCCACCTGGGCTGCCCACGCTCTTGATTTTAGAGTAGATTGGCCGGGAGGCCAATGTGAGTTAGAGAGTAGGAGACTACCTGAGGTTTTCAGTGTGTTTCTAGCACGAAGGATGACTCAGCAGAGGCTCCAGTCCTACAGAGCGAGGTGGTTTCTGCTTCCTAGAGTAATGATAATAATAGTGATATTAGTGACACTGAGCACAAGGTGGGGAGGCTCTCTGTTGATTAGGTGCTGTGATTTTTCTCTGTTTTACTGTTGAAGAAAAGGGCAGGGTGAAGTAACTTGTCAGGGTCTGTCATAGGGTGCCAGGTGGAAATTCCTAGTCAGCCCCTTCGATTTGGAAGCCTGTTTTTTTTTTTATTTTTAATAATTTATTTATTCATGAGAGACACACAGAGAGAGGCAGAGACACAGGCAAAGGGAGAAGCAGGCTCCCTGCAGGGACCCTGATGCAGGACTCGATCTCAGGACCTCGGGGTCATGCCCTGAGCCGAAGGCAGGTGCTCAACCACTGAGCCACCCAGGCATCCCTGCAAGCCTGGTCTTAATCAGTAACCCCCCCTGACGTGAACAGCCTGATGTGACCCACGCCTTATTTTATTACATTCACACTGGACACAAGGGATTGTGAAAAACATTCAGTGCCACGCCGACAGGGCTGAAGCATCTCTGGAATCCCAACCGCCAGTCTAACAAATGGACAAATGTGTTGATAAGAGCGTGCATTAAATCTAATTTTTTAAATTCTTTTTTTTAAAATTCTTTTTACTGTTTAAAATTTTTTTCACTACACTAAAATACATATAATAGAAAATTTGCCACCGTAACCATTTCCAAAGGTATGACTCAGGGGCCTTCAGTATGCTCGCCTTGTTGTGCGACCATCAGCAGCAGACATCTCCAGAACCTTCTCATCTTCCCAAACTGAAACTCCATACTCACGAAGCAGGAACTTCCTCTTGTCCTCTTCCCCAGCCCCTGGAAATCATGTTCTACTTTCAGTCTCTGTGAATTTACTTCTCTATCTGCTTCAGATAAGGAGACTTGTATATACGGTATTTGTCTTTTTTTGTACTAAATCTGCTTTTTTAGAAGCAAACTCTTAATATGGTAGGAGTAGTTGTCTAAAGAAATCCAGCAGGTGCCAGCATGGGGATGATCCCACAGCCCATCCCCCCCCTTTCTTTTAAGACTTTATTTACTTATTCATGAAAGACAGAGAGAGAGAGAGGGGCAGAGACACAGGCAGAGGGAGAAGCAGGCTCCACGCAGGGAGCCCTACATGGGACTTGATCCTGGGACCCTAGGATCATGCCCTGGGCTGAAGGCAGTGCTAAACCGCTGAGCCTCCCAGGCTGCCCGACCACCCCTGTTTACTAATGATTTTTATTTGAGTGTATTATGTTGATCTCATGCACTTTATAGCCTTGTGGTCATTTGACTCTGGAAATAGTGCGCGTATGTGTGTGATCGGTTGGTATAGATCAGTGGTAACTTCTCTAGCTTTGAGGCCCCATAGCTTTTTTGTGGTTATTCTTGTTGCCCACGAGCGGTTAGGTCTCCCACCTTGGAGGTGGGGAAGCTGAGGCTGCAGGCACCCCATGGGATGAGTGGCAGAGCTGGGGGCCAGTCCAGGCATCTCCCAAGAGCCCCAGGGGAGGACCTGGCACGTTTCTTCCCAGTGAGCATCACTGCTGGTCCAGGGGTGTGAGGACCACTTGGCTTTCCCCTCGTGCATTAGATGCTTCTCGGTGGCCCTCACTCCGCTCCCCTGCCTCTTCCAGGAAATGGCCCAGCAGCTCCTGGCGGTATTTGGTGGCTATTACATCCGGCTCCTGGTGACCTCGCAGCTCCCCCAGGCTGTGGGGACACGACACACAGACTCTGCAAGGATTCCCTGCCCCTGTCAGCTCATAGAAGCCCATATCCTGGGTACCGGGTGCTGCCCATTCCTGGCCAGGTGACCTAGGGAGGAAGGCACCCAGCATCCTGCAAGCCTGAAGGTGAGACATCGGGAAGACTGGGAGCCCCAGGTGGCTGAAGGCGAGCCCCAGGTGAGGAGAGAAGCATCTGGGAGTTCTCTGAAGAGCGTCGGTCACGTCAGCGGGGGTATCGTGCTCACTCTAGGACTCCGCACAGAAATGCCTGTGGACATCCCATGCTGACCCCTGACCCCAGAAGCTGCTGGTAGCCAGGCTGGTCCCGCTCCAAACTACTCTCTGTGCTGCTTAGAACCGGGAGCACGGATGGAAGGCCACCCTCCCATGCCTTTCATTGTGTGCGGAGCCCAGGAAATGTGAAGAGGACCCAACCACGTGTCCAAAGCTCGTGTCCAGATGCTGCTCCCGTCTTCAGCTACTTCATGTCGGATGGGGAAACTGAGCCTTGGAGAGGACTCTGTTCTTTGTACCTTGCCTTGGGCCTCTAGAATTCCTAATATGGAGGACAGAAGTAAATTCTCAGAACCTTCTTCACTTTTAAGTTTCTCCTGCCCTATATTATATGAAAAACTCTGGCCCCGTGTTGTTTGCTAGCGCACAGGCTTCCAGGGGACAGGAGACCGGGACCAGCAGCACGTAGCTGATAATGGGTGGGACTATTTGGAAAAGATCGGTTCTGGCGGATTTGAGGCTGTATTTTGTGTAGAGGCATGCATGCTTGTGGTTGTGGTTGTGGTTTTATACTTCAGGCCTGGGGCCACGGTCCTGTGTTCTGACACTACTACCGTCCCGGAGTGGAGCATCATCTGTCACTCGTGGCGTTCCTCGAAGAGCTTGGGGGCTTCCAGGTCTTCTGCTCCTGAGCAAGTTTGAAGCCCAATTATTCCAAAGGCCCAAATCCTAAAGTCCTGGCCGGGCATATAAAGTCTCCCCCATCTCCAGGACCCAGCCCCCATTCTGTAATTTTGGCTTCATCTCCCACAAAACTTCTCAATACGTTGAAACTCTTCCCTGGCTAACATACTCGTTCCGTTGCATCTGTCGAACTCCTGTGCACGCTTCAAAGCCCAGCTTTACGTCCCCTTCCTTCAGGAAGCCTTTCGACATAGACCATGCCCTGCTTCTCTGCCTCCTTTAAATTCTTAACGTAGCTGCTACATCTGTGGAGGTTTTTATGTTACTAATTCTGTTTTCCTGGGCACATGTGTGTTTTTCGAGCTAGACTAAAGCTCCTCAAGGACAAAGATCTCACCTTATAATTTTTGTGCATGGGCCTGGACCTGCTAGGGGAAAAAAAAAATCTAGTGGGTTGAGTGCTTTGTCATCTCCATAGTAACTTTTGCAGATTGTGCTGTGTTCTCCGTTGAATGATGAGGTTAGCACAGACCTGGGCTCTGGTCCCGCCTGACATTTCTAGCTGTGCAACTTGGGCCAGTTCTCAGTTAACTCATCTTTATATATATGGGTATAGAGTGGACAGGATGGATGATTCTTAATTGCCCTTCCATAGCCAAAGTGCTGGCTTTTTCCGCTCCAGGCTAGCCCTTGGCCTGTCTGTTATGTTTTTATCTATATGTAATAGGGTCCTCTAGCCTCGCATGACCGGGGTGTCCCAGCCCTGATGGGCCTTTGGATAGAACAGGGGCCTTGCAAGCAGGAGACCTGGATTCTCATCCCAGATACTCCGCTTCCTAGAAGCATGAGCGTGGCTCCGTCACTTACCCTGTCTGAGCTCCAGTTGACTCCTTTCTAAAACAAACAGATCTGCTGAACATGACAGGTAATCATGTGGGTGACTTGCTCGTGAGAGACCAGTCTGTTCATTTGCTTTCTCTGGGCCAGAGAAGAGAAATCATGTACGTAGACCCACCCTTGGAAATGGCCATTTTAGACCTTTTTCTTTAGCCATTTCTCTGCGGGCAGCTGTGCTTAGTTAAGAGTAATTCCTGGAGGCAGTCTCTGTCTTGTCACCTGCCACAGAGGAGATGCGCGCTGTGAGTGGGATCTGTAGAAGCCCGTATTTATCACCCAGCCATAAAACCCTGGTAAGTCTCAAACAGAATAAAAATGTGTATGTTAAATGACAAAACAGCCGTTTTTCCATTTTAAGGCTTGCTTACAGACCCTCCTCCAGGTGTTCCTTCTAGCCTTTTCCTCTCTGGAGTTTCCAGTGGTCTCACCTGGTGGGCAGAGCAGCGTTCAGGTGCACCCCCAGGGACTTCCTTTGCGTCTGCCCTACGGTTTCCTCATTTCAAAAATTCTGTGATCTCTGCTTTGCCCCATTCCCAGGGTTGTGTGAGGATCAGATTCCATACATGGACCCGCACTCTGCTCGAAGGCTCTGTGTCGAGGACAGGCGTGGAGGCCTGGCAGGTGATGCAGTATCTTGAAGTGGGCGCCGAGGGAGTAGCTCAGAGCTCAGGTTCTAGACGTACTCAGATCCGGGTCGTGGTGCTGGGAGTGGTCCTTCCCATCCTTGGGTGGCACTCCTCAGTGTGGAATGGGGGCAAGAGTACCTCCTTGGCAGGTGTTGTGAAGATGAAGGGTAAAGCCCTTGCAACGTTGAGTTGCAGGTTTGAGTAAGAACGCAATAAATTGTTGCTATATATACTTTTTTAATCTCTCACTCTGTCTTCTTCTATTCTGCAGGTGCCCAGGATATATATTTATTGATGTAGTAGGTCATTGACAGTTAATATTTATTCAGTCTGCATCAGACCTCAGTTACTCCAGCACCATGGGGTGTGTTTATGTGAATAAAGGTCCTGGTCCAAGTCTCTCTGAAATTCAGGACCTGGAGATGGTGAGCAGGGAGGTCAAGAGCAAGCTGGTGACTGGGCCAGATGCTCACCCTCTCTCCTCCTCCTATACCTCTATTTCCTCACCTATAAGGGAGAGTGTGAGAATAGAGGCATTAACTGAGGTGTTGTGCATGGGAAGTACAAGGTCTGGTCCATAGTATGGTGTAAAGGCCAGCTCCGTCAGTGACTGCGTTTCTCGGCTGCTGTTGCATGCTGTTTGCTACCCGTGTCTGCAGTGCAGGCTTATTATTTTTTTTAAAGATTTTATTTATTCATTCATGAGGGACACGGAGAGAGGCAGAGACACAGGCAGAGGGAGAAGCAGGCTCCCTGTGGGAAGCCCGATGCGGGACTTGATCCCGGGACCCCAGGATCACGCCCTGAGCCGAAGGCAGACGCTCAACCACTGAGCCACCCAGGTGCCCCATGTCAGTGCAGGCTTACACCTGCCTGGTTCAGATCCCTATCTTCACCGATTTTGATTTGTTTGTTTTTTCTATCAGTGACCAGGGGAGGAAAATCTCCCAGTATGGTTGTAGATTTTCTGTTTTTGCCTTTTACTTTTGACACATTTTTTTTTTATTACATAGTTCTTAAAAAGTTGAGATGTAATTCACAGAGCAGAAAACTCACTGTTTTAAAGATTTATTTATTCCAGAGAGAGAGTGTGTGCGAGACAGAGTGCACACGTGCGAGTGAGGGGAGGGACCGAGGGAAAGAATCTCAAGCAGGCTCCATGCTGAGTGCAGAGCTAGACTTGGGGCTTGATCTCAGGACCCATGAGATCGTGACCTGACCCGAAACCAAGGGTTAACCACACCTAACTGAGCCACCCAGGTGCCCCCAAAAACTCAGTTTCAAAGTGTACAGTTCGGTGGCTTTTATATATTCACAGGATTGCATGACTGTCACACTATTTAATTCTAGAACATTTCCATCACCTTCCCTGCCCCTCTCCCCTCAAACCCCATATCTACTAGCAGCCACCCTCCATCCCCGCCCCGCTCCCCGGCCCTGACGGCCACTGATGTGCTTTCTACCTCTGGATTTTCCCGTTCTGGACATTTCATATACATGGAATCATACAGTAGGTGTCCTCTTGTGTCTGCCTTTTCTAACACCAACATAGTATCTTCAAGATTCATCCGCGTTGTAGCGCGTGTCATTATCCTTCATGATTGATTATTAATTCCTTATTATTCCTGAATAATATGACATTACGTGGACATATATCCTATTGTGCTTATCCTCCTTCAGCTGGGTGGTTTGTACTTTCTTGCTCCTGTGAATAATGCTGCTGTGAACAATCGCAGGTAAGTTGTTGTGTGAATGTGTCTTTTAGTTCGCTTCCGACAAGCGTCGCCCGTTGTCGCCCTGTTGTCGCCCGCAGGCAAACTTCGAATGGTTAAAACTTCCCGATGGGTTGGCCCTTTGGTATCTGTGAAGTGTCCCTTCTTACTCTATCGGACGAGTGCCTTAAAACCGACTTTGTCTCTGGCTTAGGGATTCCACAGTTTACCTTGGTTCACCTTTTTACTTTCAGTTTATCTGAGTTTTTCTATTTAAGGCGCCCCTCCTGTGGACTAGGGGAATTAGAAAGAATCAATTCTTTGCTTTTTATTTTATTTATTTATTTTTAAAAGATTTTATTTATTCATGAGAGACGCAAAGAGAGAGGCAGAGACACAGGAGGAGGGAGAAGCAGGCTCCATGCGGGGAGCCCAACGTGGGACTCGATCTCGGGACCCCGGGATCATGACCTGAGCTGAAGGCAGATGCTTAACCAACTGAGCCACCCAGGCACTCTGGTCGGTTGGTCTTTCTCACCTTCTGGTATTCTTGGTATTTTTTGATTGAGTGCTAGACTCCAAGACTGGATATTCCTGCAGAGCGGATTTACTTTTGCTTCTGAGAAAAATAGGTTGGGATAGATTGGACTCTCGGTTACAGTCCTTGTGAGGCCCAGTCGATTTCTCGATAGCCCTGACTTCCCCTTCCGGGATTTTAAATGAAAACCTGTTAAAAAAAACCAAACCAAACCAAAACAAAACCAAAAACCAAACACTTTTTAAAACCAAGACTCCTCCTCCAGGGCGAATTCCTCATTCAGAGTGAGCCTTCCGCTTCCAATTTCTGCTACCCCGAGCTCTGAGTCTGCTGAAAGTCCCTCCCCAGTTTTTCAGCCTCGTAGACCCTGCGTAGGAATGAGCAGGTGCCTCGAGGAGGCCAGGAGACCTCAGTGTGCATTTCATCTCTGCACTTCCTTACTCTCCAGGATGTTGGTTCAAGTACAGCCCTGGGAGCTCTCTGATGCATTCAAGCAGATTTAAGAGAAAAAAAGAAAGAAAGAAAGAAAGAAAACAAAAATCCCTCAAACTACAGCTTTTTAAAACTGCCCTCAGCAGGAGGATTGGCCTGACACCAACCAGTCTGCCAGAGTCAGAGGTCAAGTCCAGCTGTGGCTTGTTATTATTTTTATTGTTATTAGTTGAAAATCCTTCAAAGGAAGGTCTCACCCCGAGGCCACGAACCCCTCTGGCAAGTTCCTAAGATGTGAGCCTCTTCTCCTCCCTCTGCGGAGAGGCCTCTACATGATCAAAGCAGGAAGCGGCATTTAGGAGCGTCTTTTACCTGCCAAGCACCCACTGGAAATGGTTCCAGCACAGAAGGAACATGGGGCCTCGGCATGGGAGGTGGGGATGGACGGGTAGGAGGAGAAAAACCCGGGTCAGAGGATGGG